TATTATCCATATAATGACAAATCTATTGAAAATTATTTAAATGGACATATGATTGTTTTGGCTCCATTATACTCATAGGTGCAAATTCAGGAGTGTATAGAGATCTTTAAACTCCTTAAAATTTGGCATAGACCTTTTTAAACTGAAACATGAATTAATAAATTTTGACAATAGCTAAATAATATCAAATAAAAATGTATTTGAAATTTTAAGTTTTATCCAAATTAAAGTAGTACTAGAGGTGATTTTTGAATAAAAATAAAATGGGGAAAGTTGGTTTTTTTAATATTTGTACATGAAATTTCTATAATATCAACAGTATTTTTTAAACTAGATAAAACACTTCGATTATAGTTAGTTTAACTTGAAAACTAAAAAACAAATGTAATTTGGTATTTGTTATTTGAAACAATTTCTATACCTGAATAAAACACAAACAACTGTGCTAATATACATTTCTGTAATACAAAACACATAACAAAAATTCAATTTTACAAATAAAATGTATTTGAAATTTTTATGTCTTATCTAAATTAAAGGATAATTAAATGGGGATTTTGGTTTTTCCGCTATCTATACATGAAATGTCTATATATAATTATAGCATTTACCAACATGTTCGGTTAAAGCATCTGCACAATATGGTTTATATAGCCAGTGATTATTAGCTATATTGTGACTATAAACTACAATATAATATTAAATATTATATTAATATTGAATCTATAGTTCAGCTGTAAAACCAATGGAATTACAACAAGAAAATGGCGTTAACATAATATCATAAATGGTATTATGATTTACCAAATTTAAGATGTGTTAAAATTGCAATTTTCGGTTGTGACGGAGAAATGTATTTTAAAATGTTAAGTGTTAGTATCTCGCAAAAAAACTCATAGTTGGGTTAATTGTCCCATGCTTTTGTTATCTGAACCACTGAGAATTCTTCTATGGTTATTTTTTGCGAAAAGTATAGACATAGACAAATCATAATATTATTGAATAATGACAATTTTACATTTATTGTTACAATAAGACTCATAAAGTTTGTTTTATAATTTCGATTTGAAGTCAATGAATAATTAATAACTATTAAACATTCATGAAGAATTTATGTTGTAAATTCCTGTAATGACTAAATATACTGATTATTAAAAGTATAACATTATAAATGGAATATTATTTCTTATTTTTTTTTTAACAAAGAACATAAAAGGTGATGTTTATAATAAAACTTGTAGTAATATCAATAATATAATCAATACAATATAAATATTAAAATATAATAAAAATTTAATTATAATTTTATTGCCATCAGGATATCGCCTCAATGTAAAAATACTATGGAAAATGAAACAAAAGTATGATGGGTGACTTTGGTCCATAGGTGATCCATGGACTTAAATTTCAAATAAAAATGTGAACACTATTCACAAAAGAAAATGTTTAAAACGATATTTTTAAAATAATTTTTGTACAATATTTATGTATTTTTATTTAATTTTATGTTATAATTCTACTATTTTTAATGTTCTTTTTCAATATAATTAATTAAATAGTTGAAATTTTCAAATTCTGATTTTATAGTTTTTTATTACAAAAAATACATATATCAAAATAAAAATTACTGAATTTTTATTTTTTTACCAAATTAGAGACTTTAAATTAAAAAATAGCCGTTATTACAATTTATTTTACTAATAAGTTTTTTTTTTTTCATTTAGTTTGCTTTTTATTTAGTTATAGTAACCATGTTGCATAGCCAAATTGATAGGCTGATACAATGCAAACTCTATGTTTCGGGTTGGTATAACTATATAACCGGATATTTCAACCATTCTTATTTTCCACGTAGTATTTTTAACAAATTACAAGTTTTAAATACTTTTTTTAAAAGATTCCTATAATTCTTAAGATTATCAACTTGCTCCATCCTTTCCTAAAATAAAGCATTTTTGTGATGCAAAAAAACATATAAAACAATTTAATTATCTATAGGACACTAGATTTACTATAGTATTTACCCATCAAACATAAACATAAATAATTTAGAATTATTTTCGCATTGCATGTGCATAATACAATACAAAAGTTGTATTATTATTGAAAATAATATTAAATAATTTTAGAAAATTTAATTTAATTTCAAACTTAGATGTGTTTTATATATATAAATATATATAACACCAGTATTGTTACTTGCGAAGTATTGCACCAGTACAGGCAACTGACCAAATCTTATTAGCGTAGTACTATCTGGCGTCTTGTCTAAGTATTGATCAATTGTACTATTTGAAAATTGAACATTATTTAAAGAACTTTTTAAAATAATGACAGTCTTGACGAGGTGCTTTTTTATCTTGTCAAGATACATTTTAAATTAATCAGGATTTAAATTAAATGAAAATCTATTTGGCCATGGAACCTTCCTATCCAACAACATGTTCAGCATGAGTCGCAACAACTTTGTCAGTATTCTCTGCCTTTTTTTTGTTGACTGTCCTTACGTGTTGCTTGAACCTTATGTTTTTATCTACCAATATAACCAGGTAATTCATGTGATTACTGACGACAATGCTTGCGCCTATAAATATACAGGGTGTTTAAAATTTGGTAAGACACTCATTTTCTCAGAAAATATCGAGAATTTTAAATTTTATTATAGAGAAAAAATATCAAGTTAAAAAAACTCTACAATAATATGTAGTCAAACCATTATTTTTTTCGTCCCTTCAAGGATAAAACCCTTATTTATAATTTTCTTAAATGGGAACCCTTATTTTTAACTTTATGCTATGATAAAAAAAAAAAAAATTACGAACAATTTTGTTCTTATAATTTTTTTTATCCGATTAACCGTTCGTCCGGTACAGCTTGTTAAAGTTATATGATTTTAGGCCAAATTTCTATTATCATTATACTGTATTAAATACAGATGTCATTATTTTTATTTGCTGCTGCATAAACCAAATTTTATTGATCAAGTTATGACATATAAATTAGCTATAAAAATTTACTACGCACTAAATGAGTGATAACAATAATAGATCCAAACCGGGTTTTCTGTGTATTATTAATAGCTAAGTCTATGGTTTTGTAAGACTACAGAATCTAACAAAAATACCGGTTGCACTACCGATATTATGAAACATTATAAATAAATGACAATATTGATTCTGAAAGTCAAATTCTTTAAACAATTATAAAACGTAAACGGTTATTCGGATAAAAAAAATTATAAGAACAAAATTGTTTTTTTTTCTATCATATTATCAAATCCAAATTAGTGATTCCCATTTAAAAAAATTATGAATAAACATTTTANAAAAAAAATTATAAGAACAAAATTGTTTTTTTTTCTATCATATTATCAAATCCAAATTAGTGATTCCCATTTAAAAAAATTATAAATAAACATTTTAATCCCTGAAGGGATAAAAAAAAATTTATTTAACTTCATATTATTGTAGAGTTTTATAAACTTGATAATTTTTCTTTTTACAAAAATTTTAAATTCTCACAGTTTCTGAGAAAATAAGTGTCTTACCAGATTTCGATCACCCTGTATATTATTGATGCCTTATCTTTGTAATTCCTTCTGAACGATAAAGCTTCGATTTTCTGAACCGCTAACGTCAGTCATTATTGCGGATGGACTGCATAAACTTCGATGAGAGCTCAGGCCGACATGACCGGGTGCCTTCTTCTTCTCTTTGATCCTGTCCATCGTCATATCAATCTCAAACTGGCTGAATTCTTTGACCTTGTCCTGCTATGAAGAATGTATTTCAACAAGCATAACGCCTAAATTATTATAAAAATCCCTTGAGCAATGTCCCTTAGATCCATGTTGGCGGTGGTTGGTGACCCCAGGAGTTTTCGTATCACCATCTTGTATAGCCTACCCCGGGGATCCCGATGCATAGACTGTATTAGTTCTTCCCAGTATTTTTCTTTACTTGGCCTAATATCCGTTTGCAGTACCTTGCATGCCTCCTTCAACGTGTCAGTTAGACGAGCTATTGTGTTTCCCTGTGTGTCAATGAAAACAATTATAAGAAAATTGCTAATAATACTATGCAAATTTAACCCTTCAACTTTAACTTAGATGCGAAGCTCAGAAACTATTAAAATTGTCATTATGTGTTTTAAAAGTCGCAACATAAACTTAAATATATAATATTTCAACATTTTTCTCACAACCTGAAACCTAGAAATTTCATAAAATTAAAGCTTACGTGGGTTTCTATTTTGAAGTTATAAAACACTGACCCTACAGCTTATACAATAATACTATGCAATGTCTATAATTTAGGTATATACAGATAATTAGACTCCTTTTTAGTTTATATAGAGCCACCTACCAATAAATTCACTACAGTACATGCATATTCACATCAAAGAGTTTTAAATAATTGAATTAAATTTTTTTAATTAAATTTTATTACTAAATAGTGGATTCAACTAGACCCAATATGTTGGGTCCCGTCTGTACTATTTTTATTTTAACTTCACCTATGCTACCCGACACCCTTGCCCATGTCATCACTATATTCTTTAATGTAGATAAATTATGTAAATAATTAGTTCCGAGATAATCTTACGGTTGACATTATTGATTTTTATTGATTGATAAGTAATTTTAAATTTTACATGACATACTTATATAAGTAGATCGCTCTTAAACTTGGAGTACATGTTAGATTTATTGAAAGTAAAAAATTGAACTTTTTTAATTAAAAAAAAAAATATGAAAATTGTGAATGTTTACATATGTAAATATTCACAATCACATTTTAATTCATACAAATGTTTATTAGATACAAACAAAATTATTTTAGAAATTAAAAATAAAATTAACATTGTTGGAATTTTTTTATTAAATTCTATAAAATAAGTTACAAGTAACTATGATTAATAACAATTTATGCTCCAGAGCCATTGTCAGCCATGCAATTTAGATTTACAGCCCACGTATTGTGTCTGAGGCTTCAGCTAGTCCGTCGTATTGTTTAAGTAATCTTGCGTACTCTTTGGGGTAGTTCTTCTCTATGTGCGACAAAACGCGTTTAGTCTGTTTAATTTCGTTCTCTGTGCATTTGGAGCAATTTCCTTTTAAAATTGCTGGTGCGTTTTCTGAAAAAATAAAAAATAACTCATTTAGAATAATCCGAGTTAAAATAAAAATTATTTTTGTTAATAATGGTGTAATCAATGAGGTGGAGACTGTAGTTCCCCCGTCCAAAAAGAATAAAGATTTTTTTTTATTTTTAATCTTTGGTGATCATTTTTCAATTTTTAAAGGTCTTTAAAAAAAATAAAAATATATTTATACAAATTATTTAATGTTACAACACCTTCGCAGAATTTATATTGGCCGTGTCACTTTTTGTTGGTACAATAAATTATAATTTAGTAATGAATGTTTAAGGATATTTTCTGATATTTTGTATTAGATTTTAAGTAGAGTACATTTTCAAAAAAATTCTCATGAAAATTACATCAAGTTGTAAATTAATTACAACGTATTTGAGCCCATCTACGTCGGTTTGTGTACGGCGATCCTCAGTCAATGTTGGCGCATCAGTGGCCAGTGCGATAGCCAAATTTAGCCCCATGTGATTTTTTTCTATGGGGCTACCTAAAATCTTTGGTGTACGCAGATCGCCCTAAGACCCTGCGCCATCTAAAGAGCAATATTCGTGATGCTATTGCCAACATAGGCGCGGATATGCTGGAAAAAGTGGACAGAAATTTCAAATTTCGGCTATCTCAGTGCATTGACGAGCATGGTGGCCACCTTAGAGATGTCATTTTCAAAACCAATTAAAATTAAAGTTTAAATGTACCCCTGTACACAGAAAAAATAAATTAATCAATATTACTAATACTTTTGGTGTTATGTTTATTTAAAATAAGAAAGTAACCACGCCCCACCCTGTATATATTACCTATACGAGTTATCGTAGACTGTATTGTGTTTTATTAGTAAAAGTACCGGTTTACATTCAAATGCGTAGTATATCTAACGCACAAATAATAAAAATAAAAATACGTAAATTAATTAATAAAGACTTGTAATTTGCGTAAGTATAAATGTAAAGTCAATTATTTTATTAAGTAGACCCGTAACCAAAAAGATTTGGAGAATAGTTCAAATTAACTGTTCAATATAAAAAATGTTTACACATAATAGTCATTTTAGCTAAAATATAATTAGAAACAAGTACAATCATTAAAAGCTAAAGTTTTATTTTTAATTATTACAAAATATAATATGCACAAGTAATTTTAGAATATTGAATTTATTAACAGAAATTGAAATTTTTATAAGTACTATGTAAATTATTAAAACACAGATAGATATAAAATCGGGATAATCGTGAAATTTTTCAATTCGTTGACATCAAAGGTCCATTCACACTGTCAATGTCACTTTAAAATATCTCATCATGTATCTCTATGGTATTGTTCACATATACACAGTGTGAATCGACCTTAATACAAAAATAATAATAGTTATATTCATTTATCACGATTTTATCAATCCGAAAAAATTAAAGGCACCAAATTTATATAACTTAATAGAAAAATATAGTTTGTCATTTACAAATCTTGTGTTCTTATTGTTAGTAATTTAATCTTCTTTTGAATAATTACAATCAGGGTGGACTAATGGTGTGAATATATAACTCACAACAACTGAGTGCTTTGAAAAACCATATGTGTCACATAAAGAAACGGCTAAAGTACAATTGGCGAGCAAAAATAGTCCACCGCTGATACAATAGTAACTTTTTTTTTAATTTATTTGTAAAACTCTATTTAAGTATAAAAATTTATTTTATTATATGAATTATGGAAATTCATCATCATTATAGTTACTGAACTTTTGATGAGAATAAGCCCAAACGGTAATCGTGTTGTCCAAATTACGTACAATTTTACAATTAATATGAACTAAGAAATCGCGCGCATTATCTAATTTTATGTATGGATCATCTAAATCGAGGAAATAATACAACGACACATCTCTAATGTATTCGGGATTTCGATTTCCAATTTGATCAGCAAAATTATACACTTCATGTTTATTTACCAATTGTAAATCTGAAAATAACCCAATTTATTTTTAATTAAATTATTATAGAGGATAAATCCATAAATATGGAACTTAAATATTTTATAATAATTAAAATACTTACTTTTGATGTCTTTCAATGGTTTCACAATATCTATCAAATATAAACGCGTTATTATACCGTGATAAAAAAAAATTCTATAATTATTAAATTATTTTCAGTTATTCGTAGATTTTTACTACCATTAGTCAATTTTTTTGAAACAGCTTTGAAAACTTCAAGAGTAACTACATTAGAACTAAGCAATTTTATGCACTCTTTCAATTCAGTCGAAAAATCAGCTTCATTCTAGACAAATCAATTATTTTTAATCAGTTCAACTCCGAACATTTTTGATTTTCAAAAATATTTATTTTAATTTCCAACAAAAACTAGAAAAACTGTCTTATGCCTTTAAAATAATGCAAAGCAAATTAGTAAAAAAATTTGACATTTTGTAAAATAATAACACACGTAAAGGTTACGACGACACTTTGTAATAAATTACGATTTGTCCCAATTATGCCACTTTCACACTATTTTAATAACAGTTTTGGACTATTTTAAAAACACACTGTGTATTATTTGTTTCTAATAAGAAAATACTAAAAGTTAATTTTTAATTTTAAAATTGCCATTTTTAAGCTCTCTTATTATGAAAAATTTTGATGCATCGACAGCAACTATATGATAAGTACTTATTGAATAAAAATTATTTTAATAAATAGCGTGGGGGGTGTGTATCGATGGGGAAAAGCACATACAACAGTGCCACTGTACCTACTTGCGCTACATAAATTTAATAAAAGACACTTGTACAATAAATTATTCGTCGTTAGAATCTTTGTAAATTAAATCAACCTGTTTTTTTAAAAAATATTTTTGAATAATGATTATATGTTATTTTATTTCTATATTTTTTTATATATTTTATATTCCATTTGTGTAAATTATTGTATTCAACTTAGAATGTGGACGTTTGGTACATAATTTCTTTACAAATATATAGATATATAAAAAATATCAAAATAAAAGAATCCATATCAAAATATCGTTTATTTGGACATGATGTCTATAGTTATTCAGAGTGTATTTTTATCAAATATTGTTCGTATTCCATTGTATTTATATTCGAAAATTATTTATTTTTAATACAAATGTATGTGATATTTTTACTAGCTAATTTAAAAAAATAAGTTTCGATTATGATATCTAAGTAACACGCTTACAATGTTTCAGCAAAATTACTCAACAGATTGAAAGTTGTGTTTACATTAAAAGTTAATCCCTTAATTACTATAAATACATAATTACATTTTTTTGGTTATCGTTTTTTACAGTACTCTGTCTCTAGATAAACATAAAAGAATATAACAATTAATTTTATGAATGCTAAATGAATAATACCTTATAAGTATTTATTATTTAATAAACAATAACAATCAAATTTTCATGACATACTTCATTATTTGAAATGATTGCTTCGACAATGACTAAAGTAAGGTTGGAAATATGTATAATACATATTCCAATAAAAATATTAAATTGCATTTTCATGAAAAACTTTAAGTATTTAAAAAGTTTTAAAAGAATCACTTTACTTTAATTTAATATTTAATAAAATATACTACGTTCATATATTAATTCAAATATGTTAAAAATAAAATGTTCACAGTGTGTAATGTTTTTTTAATAATTTCTGCGCAATAGGCGTTGTTAAATTTTAAGTAATTTAATAATAAATGTGTCGTAATCCATAAATATACGTTATTTTTAATATACCTAATTTATTTACTTTTATTAGATTTGACATTTTTCGTTTATATTTCTAAATTTTTAGGCACGTTAAAGTATTTAATCTTTAGAATTTATCTACTTATTATATTAATTTAAATAATGCATATAATAATCCGACTGGAATTCCCAAAATCCTATGAAATAAAACATCCCCAAGAAATTTAAACTTCACACCTTTTTTTCGTTGTATATTTTAATTAAAGATTGCCAACTGTGTTAATTTGAAAGACAAAAATTACATATGTTGAAATCGGCAAATTTGTATAATATAACTTTATTTTGTTAGATATTTTTGAAAAATGTTTGAATCGAAATGGAAAATAAATTTAAGTATTTTCGTTATACTTATATTATAATTTACATTGCAGTTTTTAATGCAATGATTTTAATAGCTGTTAAAAATCAACCTATGCTATTTAAATATATATAAAATGATCTAAGAATAAAAAAAAGTATATTGAAAAATTTGTTCACATCAAATATAACACATAATTAGAACCATGAGAAAATTACAGAAATAATCAAATGAGAAATTAGGGATTACATTTTTTTAGCTAAACACACTGTTCTTTTACTGAGATTTTAAAATAATGTTCACCCACCCTTGTTTAAAAATATTTTGGAGAACCTTTATTTAAAGGCTTATCCCTCATACAGAACGAATTGATAATATATAATACAGTAAGAAAAACAAAAATGTAATCAACATAAATTATTTTTTTCTCTAAAACTTATTTGATAAATATTTACATTGAGAGGAGGTTAAGGGGGACTAAGTCCTCTAAAAACTAAAATAAGTAGTCATACACCCCACAAGAATTTCTATACATAGAATATAAAATTTATGTATTGGTTAAAAATTGACATTGTTAAAAACATTTTTAAAATTGTAAAAAATTATTATATTTACTAAGCATTGCGCAGTCACCACGTTAAGACAACATAAAAATTGTATTGTGCCATAGTTTTAGTTAACTATGGTCGTTGGCAATCTAATAATCTATAGCTAAGATGTATGTCACAACTTAAATAAATAAATACAAAAAAAATTATAAAAATATATTCCCATTCATATTATAAATACAGAGTTAATAACTTATATACTTGAGTTTTTAGTGTCCAAATACGATTAACTATAATTTGTATACACCAGTCGTGCTGGTCTGCAATGTGCAATGTTTGCACCAGTGCGGCTGTTACGGTTCTATAAAATAGTAAATAGTTAGGTAAAATAGTTGGTTAGCAAAGAAAGTGGCGAATTGAAAACGTTCAAACCTCAACAAAAATCGTTAAGATTAAATACTAAATGAAGAGCGGCCAACGTCACAAGTTTTGGTGGCTGCCGCTAGCTACGAGTTGTCCATTTAGAAAAATATTCATCGTTACGAAAATTACAACGTATTTTCACGTCGGTTTGTGTATCCTCAGTCAATGTTGGCGCTTGTAGGGTTATAATATTGACCACTAAATAGGTACAATATTGCGCGCCAAGTGTTACGCGCTTGCATATATAACCCAACCGATCGTGGAAGATTTTCCCGCATAGCGAATAGAACAATTCGTTCCTCGAGACTGGAATTTACTTTGAGGAACCGTTTTATATAAAGTCCAATCAACGACGAAAAGCACCGGTAAATACAATTGTATATTTGAATGTTTTACCATTAAAACCGTTCACATAGAATAAGTGAGCGATTTGTTTACTTCTGCATTTCTCAGTGCGCTTCAGCGGTTCTGCGATTGTCGTGGTCTTTGTACAGATATTTTTTGTTATAATGGAACAAATTTTATTGGTAAAAAACGTCAGCTTGAAGAGTGTAGCTCTTTGTTTATGTCTAATGAACATTAGGTACAAGTAAACCATCATCTTTCTATATTCGTCATACAGTGGTAAACCATGCCCCCTGGAGGCTAAAGGGGGATGATCCTCCTTTGGTACCCTTTTCGGTGGTTTATAGGAGTCTGCGGTCAAATCGATAAAATCTTATTTTTTTAAGACGCTGAGTAACGCGTCATGGGCTTTTGAAGACCTCAACACTGTGTTAGTGGAGGCTACATTAAATACACGGCCACTAACACCCCTCTCCGAAGATCTTTCTTAAAAACCCAACTTGTCTGTCATTTTCTTGTTGGCGCCTCTTTAAACGAATGGCCAGAGCGTGACGAATCAACTACTACGCCTGAAATTTAATTGATCTTTATATCTTGTAATCTTATTATTACTCTCGGTAAAGGCATAATTGGTTTATATAGTATGGTTGAAATTTTTTGTTCAACTGTGGGCGACATGTTATGTACCAATAGTTTTATTATATATAATCTGTATTATCGTTTATAAATCACACGTACGTGTATCTCAGATGGTAACGCGTTTTATTAATAAAAGTACCGGTTTACATCCAAACGCGTAGTATATCTGACGCACAAATTACAAAAATAAATATACGTAAATTAATTAATAAAGATTTGTCATTTGCATAAGAATAAATGCGGAATTGATTATTTCATTAAGTAAAGCCGCAACAAAAAAGTCTTAGAGAAAAGTTCAACTTTAACTCTTCAATAAAAAAAATGTTTACAAATAATAGACATTTTAGCTAAAATATAATTAAGAACAAGTACTATCATTAAAAGATAATGATATTAAATCTAATATAATTATATGAAAATATACTTTTTTGGTGATGATCACACTACCCTGTCTATTTACTCTATTCTATTATTTCTACTTATTATTATTATTATTTTTATTTTTCTCCATTTGATTAATTAATTAATATAATTGCTTTATTGAACTTAACAATTTAAACAAACTTAACAAACTTCTAACAATTATTTCAGAAAAGTAGAGTATTTTTCTCTCTATAAAAATGTTTACAAAACTTTTAAATATCCAAAAAATTATAATTTCAGTTTATTATCTCAGGCTACTGCTAATTAAATGGTAGCCAGACGTAATTGTCATACTAAACGGTCCCAAAGTTAAAAAAAATGTTATTTTGGATTAGAAAATCACAATTTTTCGTGATATTAAAATTTTTTGTTTAAATTTTGTTTACAATTATTTATGTTTATATTTTAGGTCAAGCAGTTTAGTAATTTAGGAGGGAACGGTAAGTACCAATTTAACTTTTCTCCCTTAAAAAACGGTTGAGTGTTAGTTATAAATACTTTGCAGTTTTTAATGTTCAACCAAATAGTATATTAAAAAGAAGAGGCTGTCATTCTCCAAAAAAACGTTCTAGCTATAATAGTTTATCATAAATACAGTTTCAATTTCACAACTAATGAATTAATGTAGGCCACAATAATCGAATTAACAAACTTAACTTTATCCCTTTTTTTGATTAATCCACATTAACATTATCGATACACTATTGTTATAGAGATAATGAAATATGCAAACTACTTTATAATTTTATTGTAGTTTCTCAGTAAAAATTACAAATCAAAATATTGAATATCAATTTCATACTAAATTTAATTTCTACAAAATGTATTTATACCTTTATAACATTAAACTAGTAATCACGATATAATTAAGAAAATATATGTTAAAGTTGCTTGTGAAATAATTCACAATTCCTTCTGAAAATTGAACAATTATTTTAGTTTCAATAAGATTATTTAAAAGCAAAAATATATACATTAATGTAAAAAATGATACTTATCATTTGATATGTATCATTTTAATTACAAAATTCATTAATCTATGTAACTGTTTAATTAAAAAAATGTTTACACATAATAGTTATTTTAGCTTAAAAATAATTAAAAAAAGTACAATCATTTAAAATTAAAATTTTATTATAAATTATTACAAATTAAAATGGGCATAAGTAAATTAAGAAGTTTGAATTTTTAAACAGAAATTTAAATCTTTATAAGTACTATATGAACTATTACAATACAGTAAGAATAAATGTAAAATACATTAAATTTGATATCGGGAAAATAAATCATTACATTATTCAATTATTTTACATTAATACAATAAAAATAATAGTCGTATTCATTTAATACGATTCTAACAATCTGACAAAAATAAAGACAAAAAATTAATTAAACTTATTCGAAAAATATAGTTTGACATTTATATGACTTGTGTTCTTATTGTTAGTGATTTAGCTATTTCATCCTTTTTTTAATAATTCCAGTTAAATAATTTCATGTGAACCTATGTGTAACATAAAGAAATAGCTTTTACTATTCAATTATTTTAAAAACCTATGTATAAATATAAAAATTAATTTTATTTTATAATTTAAGTAAAATATTAATTACCGTATATCAATTGTTGACGAGAAAAAGCCCAAACGGTAATCAAATTGTCCAAATTATTAACAATTTTTTGGTTAATTGTATGTAAGAAATCGCGTGCAAAATTTAATATTATTTTACTATCATCGATCTTTTTTAAATAATTTTTTACCATATTTCTAATCTCTTTATGGTCATTATTTCCAATTTTATAAGCAAAATCATACACGTCTATTACTTTTACTAATTTTATATCTAAAAATAATACAATTTATTTTTAATTAAATCCTTATATGAATAAATCTATACATAAAGATATTTATACGTAACTCTAATATTTTATAATAAATAAAATACTTACAACGGTTTCTTTTCAATGGTTTCATAATGTCTGTCAAATATAAACATGTTATTATGTTGTGATAAAAAAAATTCTATAATTATTAAATTATTTTCAGTTATTCGCAATTTTTTATTACCATCTGTCAATCTCATTCAGAACGTCTAAAGTAAATAATTCTTCATCAAGCACTTCTATGCATTTTTTCAATTCAGCCGAAAAATCAGGTTCATACTAGACAAATCAATTATTTTTAGACAGTTTAATTCAAAAAAATTTAATATCATTCTGATTTTTAAACATATTTATTCTATTTTTCAACAGAATCTAAAATTTAAATTCTAAAATAGCCATTTTTTAGCTCTCTTCTTTTAAAAAATTTCAATGGATTGACAAAAACTATAGAATAAGTTATTANTTTTAAAAAATTTCAATGGATTGACAAAAACTATAGAATAAGTACTTATTGAATTAAAAGTGTTTTAATAAATAGCGTGGGGGGTGTGTATCGATGGGGAAAAGCACATACAACAGTGCCACTGTATCTATTTGTGCTACATAAATCTAATAAAAGATGCTTTAAACAATAAATTATTCGCCATTAGAATATTCGTGAATTAATCCAACCTGTTTTCTTAAAAAAATATTTTTGAATAACGATTATACTTTATTTTATTTCCATATTTACGATATGTGAGTAATTATATATATGAAATTGAAATTTGCTAAATTAACTAATGTTATGACAATTGTTACTAATGAGGCAGACAACAGTGTAGAAGCAATTTTTGTAATTGCCCTTAATTATTAGTCGAGCTAAACGTACGTATACGGACGGCGAGTACATGAAAAAAATATTTTAGATGTAATTTCTGTTTTAAATCGTGAAAATCACAAACTTTTATAAATGGTTGAAAATGTACCAACATACAATAGAAATGCGTATTTCAATAATTAGCTTTGATATTTTCACTAATTTAAAAAACAGCATTGCTAATTGTTTGTCTCTTAGTCTAGCTTTAGATGAATCTACCGATATTCAAGATAAACCTCAGTTAGCCATATTTGTTCGTTATGTTACGAGTGATTTAGATATGAAAGAAGAGTTTTTAGATCTAATTTCATTAAAGGAAACCACTTGGGATATTGACATTAAGATTGCTCTCGATGAAATACTACAAAAAGGTAAAATCCCATTAAACAAAATTATAAGCATTTCAACTGATGCAGCTCTTAGTGTGCTAGGTTGTAAAAATGGACTTTTAAAAAATGATACTTATTTCCCAGATTTTATACCTATTCATTGTATTCTACATAGAGAACACCTGACTGCTAAATATTTTAAATGTGATCACCGTAGATGTTATATAATATATAACATCTACGGTTATTGAAAGTGTAATTTTTACGTATCACATATATGTGCCAATTAAAATCGTCAATTTTAGAAAGGCCGGTTTAAGACCTATATGAGCCCCGGAGTAGTACCTAAACATTGGCTTCGCTATCGATTCCATAAAAAAATTAATCAGCAAAAAAAAATATTAGAAAAACTTTGTCACTAATCGAATAAACTAATCTAGAAAAATTAAAAATGGATCGTTCGACTCTCCCCTTTGGCCTACTCATTCGGGCCTGACAATAAAAATATTTTTATTACATTAATTACGTATATCAAAATACCAAATAAAGCTCATATTTTGTCGAATTACATTTAAACATATTNGGGCCTGACAATAAAAATATTTTTATTACATTAATTACGTATATCAAAATACCAAATAAAGCTCATATTTTGTCGAATTACATACATTCAGCGTCTACTGGATATTGATTTAATTATGTCCATTTTTTTTTTTAATGCGGATAAGACGATTTTTGCACCATTTTTAAATAGTATCAATTAATATTCGTATTACATTATATTTATATTCGAATATTATTTGTTTAATTGTAATTAGTGATTTTACGAACCCTGATATTTAAGGTTGAACAGAAATATTAAATTTAAATCGAACTTGAACGAACCGAACACACCAAGTTGTGTTCGGTTCAGTTCAAACATCAATAATCATATTTATTTTTAATACAAATATATGTGATATTTTTACTAGCTAATTTAAAAAAATAAGTTTTGATTATTATATCTAAGTAACACGCTTACAATGTTTCAGCAAAATTACTCAACAGATTGAAAGTTGTGTTTACATTGAAAGTTAATCCCTTAATTATTATAAATACATAATTACATTTTTTTGGTAATCTTTTTTTACAGTACTCTGACTCTAGATAAACATAAAAGAATATAACAATTAATTTTATGAATGCTAAATGAATAATACCTTATAAGTATTTATTATTTAATAAACAATAACAATCAAATTTTCATGACATACTTCATTATTTGAAATGATTGCTTCGACAATGACTAAAGTAAGGTTGGAAATATGTATAATACATATTCCAATAAAAATATTAAATTGCATTTTCATGAAAAACTTTAAGTATTTAAAAAGTTTTAAAAGAATCACTTTACTTTAATTTAATATTTAATAAAATATACTACGTTCATATATTAATTCAAATATGTTAAAAATAAAATGTTCACAGTGCGTAATGTTTGTTTAATAATTTCTGCGCAATAGGCGTTGTTAAATTTTAAGTAATTTAATAATAAATGTGTCGTAATCCATAAATATACGTTATTTTTAATATATCTAATTTATTTGATTTGACATTTTTCGTTAATATTTCTAAATTTTTAGACATGTTTAATGTATTATAAAAAAAGCGGAACAATTTGACCCTTAGGACAAAATGATCTAAGATTAAAAAAATATTTAGTTAAAATTTGTGATCTTTTCATGAAAATATTTTTAAATGTATTAACCAAATAATGATAATTATTTGAATTAATGAATACTTATATTTTATGCATATAATATATACTATACATTAATAATTCCAACCGCTTTCACATCAAATTTTAGATGCACTATTTTCACAGTGTATTTCAAGTACTTCGCACTATTACGATTATTTATTTAATAATATTAATTAATTATTAAAAAAGGAGTATAAAGATAGTCCCAATCGGAACAATAATAAAATTACATATTTAAATTTCACAATCACATTTTAATTCATACAAATGTTTATTAGATACAAAAAAAATTAGTTTAAGAAATTAAAAATAAAATTAACATTGTTGGAATTTTTTTATTAAATTCTATAAAATAAGTTACAAGTAACTATGATTAATAACAATTTATGCTCCAGAGCCATTGTCAGCCATGCAATTTAGATTTACAGCCCACGTATTGTGTCTGAGGCTTCAGCTAGTCCGTCGTATTGTTTAAGTAATCTTGCGTACTCTTTGGGGTAGTTCTTCTCTATGTGCGACAAAACGCGTTTAGTCTGTTTAATTTCGTTCTCTGTGCATTTGGAGCAATTTCCTTTTAAAATTGCTGGTGCGTTTTCTGAAAAAATAAAAAATAACTCATTTAGAATAATCCGAGTTAAAATAAAAATTATTTTTGTTAATAATGGTGTAATCAATGAGGTGGAGACTGTAGTTCCCCCGTCCAAAAAGAATAAAGATTTTTTTTTATTTTTAATCTTTGGTGATCATTTTTCAATTTTTAAAGGTCTTTAAAAAAAATAAAAATATATTTATACAAATTATTTAATGTTACAACACCTTCGCAGAATTTGTATTGGCCGTGTCACTTTTTGTTGGTACAATAAATTATAATATAGTAATGAATGTTTAAGGATATTTTCTGATATTTTGTTTTGGATTTTAAGTAGAGCATATTTTCATGAAATTTACATTAAGTTGTAATTTCATAAATACAGTACAACTATTTAATAAAGATGTGCAATCGACTTTATGTTATGCTTAAATTATTTATATAATTAAATTATGTTATGAATACAAAAAAAATTTAAACCTTAAAACTCTAAATAAGTTTCACATGTAATCTATTATAATCAGTGCCGGCGCTAGATGTTGCGGAACCCAATGCAAAAACGTTTCAGCGAGTCCTTTTATATTTTTTTTTTAGTAAAGGAGACCTTTTTATTTTTGTATATGAAGACTTTTGAAACGTCGTGCCTAAGAAAGTGCATAGGTGTCTTTGCCATTCCACCGTGATAGTGTTTAAGTACCTTTTAACTTTTTGCCGATTTGATCACAAGGTCCTTCGCCTGTAGCACATTTTAACTGTCTTTCTACAAAACGGCGGTCTCTAAGGGCAGATTCGAGAAAATCGTTAGAAACGATGGGTAGTCCTGCGGCTGAAATTTGGGAAGATTTAGGTGGAGCAGCCCTTTTGAACAATGGTTTTTTATCATCGCCATCTGGTAAAGCCAATGCAACACACACGAAAAGTGCAGCTATAATCACCTATAAAAAAATAAACAGTTCGTATAAATAACAAATATCTGTTAGTATTATTATCAATCAATATTTTATACAAAAGAAATGTGAGTTAGTGGCGTACACAGAAATTAAATTTAGGGGGGGGGGTTGAAATTTAAAGAAAATTAGATGTGACACTGCCCATATTATTCGCTCACAAAAATTCCTCTTTTCGATTACTTTGTTGTGGAAATATTTATAGTATAGTATGATCTTTTTTATTGTTATTACTTAGTGATGCGAATTATAACAATATTTTTTATAGTAACTATATTGTTGATGTAAGTATTTATGTATTTATAAATTAATGTTTTCTAGATTTCTACCTGTAAAAAATTGATAAATTTTTAATACATATATATTGCATGTATGTACGCATAGTAATATTACACATAGTTAATGATTTGCAATATTAGTGAAACCAGAAACTAAAAGTTCTATGCCAGTCCCATTAGCCATGTAAAACGTACTTTTGTAGAAGAAAATCAATAAAAATAATCATTACATTTTTTTAGAAATGTGCTTTCATTGAAAAATCACGAGTACGCAACTGATGATTTTTTATAAATTTTACATAACAAAAACAACAAGCATTATTTAATACGTTTCTAATTAAAAATACATTTTGTAATTTAAATGATTAGTAAATTGATCTCGTGTAATCAGTCTATTGAATAAAAATAAAATATTTTGGTGTTTCCTGTAAGAATTAAATTTTAAACATAGAATATATAGCAATTATTATCAATTCAAGTGTAACAAACGATTTTTAATTAATTTTATTCGCTTTGCATATGACTATTGGCATTTATAACCTTACGGAATTCCCACGCGAATCGGAAATATTATACGTCCATTAAATTTTAACGGAGTAGGACGTCTGTCTATGCGGCGCAGACCTTTTGTCTACAATTTGACTGTACGCCAATAAGTATATTGAGAACTAGTCTACTCATAAACGAGAGCTGATAATTTATTGTTAAAATATTCCACGTTCAAAGTAATTTAATGAATTCTTTAAAAAAAAGTAATGTAAATGATAAACACGCGTGCTTTTGATTCTTTTACGATGTACAACAACACTTGGGGTAATAAATTAGTGACCAGAATAGGAATGAACTAAAAACATCCCAGGCTCTAACTTGCCTTAATTGAAAGTTTATAAATAAACGTTTTAAGGTTGGTTTTTTTTATAAACGGCAAGAGTAAATCTGTTCTTATTTTGAAATTTCATTTTAAAATTTCTAAAAATCTACTCGTTTAAAAAAATGAAAACTGCCCAAGATTTGTCCGAACTCTATAAAGTAACATTTCAATCAAACATAATGTTACGCCGATGCGATTAAATGTGACGTTGCTTTTATTAAGTTTTACATGGTTTTTACTATTGCCGATCGATTTTAGAAATCATTAGGAACCACTGAAAACGTATAGAAATTGTTGTTTTTCTTTGAACATAATACTACCACAACGCAAAATAAAATATTCATTTATAATCGATTAGCTTAATTGTATTTGAACCGACAACTATTTAATTATGATTGACATTTTTTGCCACTCCATTTGATTTTCTCTACGAAATAAATTTAAAACAATCGTTTATGCCTGAAAATGTCACATACACTCGGTGTATTGAATCGTTTTGTAGGTGCTGCGCCATTTTGTTAATTCCACGCCATTTTATTAATGTATTGTCATAGCGCATTTTATACATACGCACAATAAATATGCGAACACGTTACTGCGTTATAATGATGATTGCACGGAGGGCGTTATTGGTATCGGTTTGCAGGCCCCGAAATGAGCGTCGATTTATGAGCAGAAAAATATGAATTTATGAAATTGCCCTCCGACAGTGAAACGTACGAAATCTGTCGTATGATTCAACCCGTAAAATTGACGGCACCGTCTACCACCTGCAGCGATTTTTCTTGGAAGAGTCAATTTTTTCGTTTGGTAATTTTGTGCGCGATGCGGAAAAAGATTGCCGGCAAAAGCCAACGCTGAAAGGTAAACTTACCCCATTTGCCGGTTCTACAATATTTATCAGAATTCAATTTTAAAAACACCGAAAGTGGCTTAACCCAATAACGTTTTTATAACGTCTGGGATAATGGCCGCTTGTGCGAGTGTGGAGTATTTACGCGAGAGGAGGCGCCAAAACCTCAGCCGTTAATATGAAAACGTCATCTTTCAATAAGAAAAATTATAAATACAAAAACACCCGCGCCTCTCGGTCGATTTTTTTCTCAGGCGAAATAAATTATTTCATTTAAGTCGATAAATATTATTTCTGCGATTCCAACGCTCATATTAGAAATGAAATAAACAAATCCCACGAAAAGTCATCCGCCAATGTAAACTCGATGATACCAAAAATTATATATTATAATAATACATCAGCTTCGGAAATACTATTTATCGGTAAAAACGAAATGAATAAAACATACTTACTAATGACGTTTAGTAATATTTTACCAACTATAACTGCAATCAAAATAACACCAATTTAATCTTGATCGAGCACGTACAAAATTTCCATTTATTTGAATATCAAACATCCAAATACATTACCAAAATTTAATATTTTTTATCAGTATTAACAATATTTTCAACAATATCTGCGTTATGAAAATCCAACAGTCATTCGCTACGTTTCAAATAATATAATTGTGATGTGATTCACAATTATAGCTTTAATTTTATTTTTGTCTATGGCAGAATTTTAAGTATGAAATAACGTTATCAATTATTGTTTTCGGGAATCAACTAACAATTTTCTTAACGTAATTACAGTTATTCATCTAATATTTAAAGTATAAACAATACTAAAATATTTCTTGAATAAATTTCTAGAAGCGATAATTTTTTTTTGTTTTACTTAATTTAAATTGAAAAATGTACATAAAACTGTAAAAAGACTGTACTCTAAAATTTTATAAGCATTAAATTTTACATCTTATGAGCAACTATTTTTTTTTTACTTTTAAGTTTAAAAATGCAAAATTATTTAACTGTTTTATTGCTAGCGTAATTTTCTTCACTTAAATATAAAAGGCAAGTTAAAATTAGAGTCGGTATACACGAGAAATGTTTTTTTTAGCTTTTTAATTAAAGATTAAAGACACGTCGTTATATTTATTTCTTGTGCCGTTTTGTTTAGCCACAAAATATTTCAGTTGATTCATTAATTTAATATAAACAAAAAAGTAATCACTGTCTACTTACTCTCATATTGAATACAGTCTGTAACATGATTCTTTATATGAACAAAATACTTGACAAACTATCCGTAGTTAAACGAAAACTAAATAATTACTGATGTAGTTCTAGTGTTCTACCCAGTTCTTATATTGTTCCCTACTCTTAATGGGAAAACCAAGGACTGAGTTGGAAAAAATACCCAGAACAAATTAACATTAATTAGATATCATAGCTACCAATTTGTTATTATCGAACAGTTTTTCACATTTTAATACAACCAATACTTTAGTGTAATTAAAAAAAGACAATTTAACTTACAATTAAAAAAAAATCTAATTAAATATTAGTAAAATACTTTACACATGAATTTGTTTAAAAAAATATGTGAAATTCTAAATGTACTTGTTGACTCAAAAATGTATAAAAAATCTAAGATTTCAAAATATTATATTTATTTGTAATTTAAAATCTCAACATTTTTCTGATTTTAAAAAATTTTAGGTTCATTGAACAAGTTCAACGAAAATTATAATTCAATTTTCACCATACAGCAATCTTAGGAACGACCTACGACCTCAAACCATCGAAACGTAATCTCGTTAATTTTATACTGTTTAATTAAGTTAAATGTTCAACGTTTTTGTTGCTTAAACAGATTATACTATGTCACATCTACCTGCTCTTCTATCAGCAAAAAGCTTAGGCGTGTGATGGACGGCAAGACTCATTAAAAAAAGATGCAGGATTTTCATCCTTTGATACAGCTCAAACGTAATTAAAAATCTTGCTGTAACCTTTCATCACATAATTAAATTTACCATAAAATAAACATAAAAAAATTCTTTAATTTAATAAGTTTGTTTCTTTCGATCTATCTATTGCATAAAATTTATTTTATTTTTTTTTTTTTATCAATAAATAGATAAAATATAAAAAAATAAAAGGTTTATATGTTTTTTATTTTTTTTTTAATAAAACGTTATGTTTAATTAAATTAATAGTACAATACACATCATTTTATCATAAAAATTACATCTCAGAGGCTCAGAATAACTGTTACTGCGATTGTCGATTGGGAATTACCAAAAAACCAATGTGTCTCTCTGAACGATGTTTAATGACTTAAGTATACCAAATATCGGTCTTTAAAATAACATTTAAAAAATATATCTTTTCAAGGTCGTTTAACATTTTTAAAACGTCATAAATTATTGTGATTTGCTTGAGTATTTCAGTAATAACATTAATATACTTCTAAGAGCATATTGAGGAATTTATGATAGGACACAAAAAAATGTTTTTATTGAGTACCATAATATTTAGGAGACTTTTTTTCTCATAACTTTTAGCTTTGATGAGAACTGAGGAAGTCTGGTTTTATTGTTAAGCTAGCTACAAAAAAATTCAAAAAAGAACACAAAAATACCATATAGAAACTTTAAAACGTATTGTAAAAATATTTTTTCAACAAAATCAAATTTAAAAAAACTTTTCTGAAAAAAAATTATATATAGTTTCAATTTTTTCGAATCCATTTTTAATAATTAATAATAAATATATAGTAATTAAAGTAAAAAATATCAGTTATTTTCTCTACGAAACTAAATAAATTCAAAAAAATTAACGAATTGATTAAAAAATTTATCAACATTTTAGTAATAAGTAATAATGTTTCTGGGTTAATCCCGATGAGCGTTAAGTTTTGCTAAATGTAATATAATATTTGCTAAATAAACACTTTTTTTACACTACAAACATTATCAACAATAAAATGTGAAAATGTTTTCCATTGTAAAAAAACCAGCACAGTGAGGCATAATTGCTTCACTAATCATAATTACGGGCGTCATACACCCAAAGAAAAACCTCAATCAAAATTGAAAGAGAAATTTTATCAAGGGTTTATGATAATGTTTTATTAATACGAACAAAATAACTATTCTTATAAATAATTATTGTTCAAGACAAGAAAAAAAAATATCATATTGATAAATATATCATTGATTCAATAGTAATGATATATTTATCAAATTGAACAATGAATTTATTATATAGATCGAGGTTTTTCTCTGGGTGTAGTTAAGACTAGTGTAGATGACAATAATTACAATCGCTGTTCTTGTTTTATACGTAAGTTTCAAGTTTGTAAAGGATAAATGAAACATGTAAACAGTACTTATATAAAAAATCTTTTTAATCCATACATTTTTTAAAAAGTTATAACAATATAAAATTGGAAATATAAAAACGAAAATTTTATTGCAGAAATAATATGTTTTAACTACGGAGGCCATTTGCATGTAAAACTTAAGGTGTCGGGACAAACTTTTTTTTAAATCATAGTATGTATAATTAAAGGGCGGAGTATTTTCAAAACTTGAGCTAAAAAAGTTAATTTTTTATGCAAACATTTTTATTTTGAAACTCTATTGTGACCTGTCCACACTGTAGAGTGATAGATTTGCAAAAAATAGAAAATATCTATGGTGCATAAAAAAATTATTTTTATTTCCTTATTTTAAATAAGTTACAACAGTTTAAAATAAAAATAATTTTTAAAATTTCAAAATTTACCGATTTTTAAAATAGTAATTTTTGGGGATTTTCCCATTGATTGGAAAAAAGGGACTTTTTTTCAATTTTTATGAGTCTTTAAAAAGATTTTTGATTTTTTTAATGTATTGTTCAATAAATTTGAGACCTGAAAAAAGTGGTGACAGACAAAAAAACAATATGTATATAAATACATTATAGTAAAATTAATACCTTAGTATCTTTGAACTGAAGATAAAAATCAATAAAATTAACTAGACAAAAAAATATACCTAAAACAATGAAATCATGGTCGTGTACAACATGAAATATAACATAAGAACTAAATTTTTTTCATTAAAATACTATGTACAGTTTTTTAAAAATTCAATTTAGATTTTTTTTATATGTATATATCATGTGCTTGAAACTTTTGAGACTTTCATTAACATTTAAATTGTAGATACAGCATCAAATTCCTTAAAAAAAAAAGTTATAATAAAAATTTTAAAATATATTTATATACACTCACAACTGATAAACCATCTTCATCTGATATTGATTGCTTTTTCAGTAGATTACTTTTGGACATACCTAAGTATCTAGACATTGATGGTCCAAAACTTCTCACACTCTTTGCGATTCTCACGCTCATCGACGCTTTCATTTTCTCCCTTCTTTCTTTTCGCTTTTGGATGTTAACATATTCCTGTTGACATTAAATGAATTTCTATTTTAAGTAGATACCATTTAAAATGAACCTTTTTTCCAGACCAATGCTTAATTTCCTTAAACTAAATGAGTTTTGAACCGCAGGCTTTGAGTTTTTCCACTTAACTTTTAATACTAAAAGATAATGATAATAAAGATACTAGAATGTAGATGTATTTAAATGTCCTAATAGTATACTACAATTTATAAGAGTAATATATCCGAATGAAAAAAATGTTAACAATAAATATCATTGTAATCTATGAGTATAAATTCGCCACACACCGATTGATTAAAAATGGAAGAATATCGTTTAACACCTCTCAGCCCAAATTATTTGTCGGTTTATGTTCGGTGATTGATTAAAAATAGTGACGCGCGATGAATAATATAGCCGTTTTTCATGATTAATCGAATATTTTACAAAAAATTAAGTTATATTTTTAGATAAAAGACAAGTTTTAAATGTCTATTACAAGTTCGTGTACAAATCATGTTTCACAAAATATAATATAATTCACTCAAATTTACGCATCAGACTTACAATAACAAAATCAAAATATTATCATTAATAATATTATTAACAAACCTGTAATAATTTCAATAATGTAAGTTTAATTACTCCAATGGAATTTCGTATTTTCTAATATTTTTATAAAAGAATTTATTACATGAAGTGCTAATCTCAAGGACAATTATTACAAAAGTAGAGTTTCAAAATTATTATTTTATAACACAACTAAACATTTTTAAATACTACTGTAATATTTATTAGTTACTTCAAATTTTTTTTTTATGTCGTTTTTGAACTTTAAGCTCTTAACAAGTATTTCATTTAGAGTTTTCTTGCTTAACGTTACATTTCTGTAAGCTTCCAACAATTTCGTTTCAAGTTGACTAACTTTACGGTACAATTGTTTTTCTTTGTCCGGAACAATTACATTCATATTATCGTCATATACTTCGATTTTTATTTTATGACGTTGTTCTAAACAAAAACAAAGTAAACAATTATGAATGAGTCATAAAACGCATATATTTTATGATTAATTACCTCGAATTTTGTATAAATCAATACGACAAGCAAAGAATCGGTCTTGTGTTGTTAAAATATTTTCTAAAACAGATGTCCATTTCCTACATTGACATCGTAAACAAATCTATTAATTTCGTTATACTCGTAGAATAATTAGTAGTAATAAAAAATAAAAAATTTAAAAAAACATTTTGAGTCGAATATTTATTTAATATCCTTTTAAAATCCAGATCTATGTCGGATTCTTACTGAAAAACTGCGTTGATTTCGTCTACCATTTTTTCATGTTCATTTAGTAGATTTTCATTTTCAACTATAAACGTGTTCCATATTTTTTCTTTGCTTAACGACAAATCGCTGTAAGGTGCAAGAACATCCTTTATAGAAATCTCCATTTCAGCGATCTAAAATATATTTCTTATCAATGTAATCGTAGTACACATCTTTATAATATAATCTATCATTAGTAAAAAATGAAAAATATTGTATAACAAGCAGTAAAAGTGTAGCGTTTAAACGTTTTATGTAGTTTTTCTAATGAAAGAGAGAGATTTAATTATTATATATCCTGATTAAATTCTAGAATTTTTTCTACAAACTATTTTTTCTGTAAACTTATAGCAAAAATTATAATTTTCATTTTAAATTGTTTGAACATATTTTATCGCCGAATTTATTCATTAAACAATTAATAAAAAATCTCATCAATACACTATTTGCTTATAATTCTTTCATCAATAAATATATCATTTAATTTTATTTTACAATGGCATTCGATGCTAACTTATAATAATATTGTTTTATTATTACCATTTGTCTGACCGAAATTTCTTCCATTACTGGCTGCCCTTTTAAATTAAATGGCTCTACAATTTAAAAGTTAACAAGTATTAAATTGTAATGAAACAAATGAGAATTGTAGAAAACTTAATTAATATTTTAAGAAACAAGATTTTTCAGTCTATTCACAATTTTTTAATGGTGAAAAGAAAAAAAATTATCGATATAAATGAAATAAAAAAATTGTGTAGAAAAGTAGATTTCAAACTTTATAATGTTACCACTAGCAAACTGCACTGTATCTATTTTGGAATGTCTAAAAATTAAAAAAAGTTTTGTTAAAGATATCTTTTTTTTTTCGACGCTGTGGTATTATTTTAACCTATTTAATTCAAAATGATTGTTTAGCTCTTCTTTAAAAGTAGAAAGTAGTATTGAAGTTTCTGCATAACTTCTTTGCCGTTCATTGATTGTATCGCTAGAATTTAAAAATTCTCGAGCTATGTTTTTTAATTTTTCAATTTCATTATCAGTCATAAAATTCATAGAAGTGCTGCCTTTCAAAAACTCGGTGATGAGCAATTCACTTTGTAAATTTGTCATTTTCTCCTATCAAATATTTTATATTTATTCAACCCCAACATAAAAGGTAAAATTCTTATACTTATACGCACTATTAAGTCTATTTGATCATTAAGATGTGATGAGTGAATGTTTGTTTCAGTACTTGGTACTTTGCGAATTGTTTCACCTAATCTCAATGTCGTAATGTTTGATATCAGACAATTGATTTCCGGTCGAACATGACATATTAATCTTAGATAAAATTATTATTAGTGGCGTTCTCATAGTGTTTTATTTATAATATGTAAAAGAAATTTTTTTTATCAGGTCCTACAAAGCAAAAATAAACATTTTTGCTGTATAATTATAATTATCAAGTAGAGTCTATCCCCATGACCCTCCTAGATACTTATTATATTGAATATCCTTTTTTAATATAAAAACCTGAACTTCTAGATACAATGTGTTAACAACTGAGTAATTAAAGACGCCTTAAGTTTTGTAGACTATCATATATTAATAGCAACATTGATTACAAATGTCTATATTCACCGATAATACTACACTATCTATGTAATCCATAAAACATATTTAATGTAACTGACATCCCTTACTTTATTTTATTTCCCTAATTTTCTGAACAATAATATATAATGATTAACTACCACACTGAAAATAATTCTCCAATAAAATCAACAAATGCATTATCAAAATACGTCCAATGAACTATTTTTCAGACGATTCCATATTTTTTGTTAGTTATTTTCTAATTTTGCCATTATTTTTGTTTGAAAAATAAAAAATTAAACAAATATTATGTTAAATTAGCAAAAAAAAATTGTTCAATCAATAAGAAATACTTTGTATTTATTAAAAATTGACACGGACAGTCGTTTTGACCAAAAATTATTAATTTTACTATGGAGTTTTTTACAGTGGCGTAACTAAGAGGGTGCTTCAGTAACTTCAGGCTCCAGGGGCTTATCTAAATGTAAAATTACTATAGTTTCAACTGTGAATATTTTTTTTTTTATAGAGATATATAATCAGTTTTTATAATTAATATATAATGTATATTTTATAGATAAATATGAGTTATTATATATTTAAAATAATAGTAACTATTATTTGAAAGAAATAATTTTTATTGATAATATTTTTTCTTTTAATAAAACTGTATATCATATTATTTAGATGATATAGGGGTTATAAGGGTTGAGAAATGTTGGGGGTAGCTTTACTCCACAGCTTTAAAAACCTTACACACTTTTTACCCAGATTCTTGCTCTAATTATACCACTGTTAATTAAGATTTTGAATTATTTTTAAAATTGAATAACTGATTTATGTTGACATTTTTTAATTTTGGCTCAAATCCTTCAAATATTTACTTTAATAAATGATTCTTAAAAATTTAATTTTAATCACTAGTTCATTTTTTTTTATCGTTTTTTAAGTTTAAGTGGCAACAGTGTAAAATAAGACTTATACTATCTTACTGCTAATATCATCCCACCCTTGAGAATGTTTAATCATTCAATACTCGAAGGTTTTAAAAAGTGTAGTAAGTAGAAGGTTTACTATCATGAAGATTTACACAGAAATTTGATAGTTAACTTTAGACAACAATTATTTTAGAATGAAACTAAGGTCACATAAAACGTAGCCTCGGGTATTTTAGACCCTCATAAATATACGTACTAGTATATGCGTGTAATACCCAAAATATAAGACATTGCTCTTAAAAATTTATGAAGAAAAGTCAGCGATTATGACATTTAAAAAGAGATGGTCCAAAATTTATCTCGGGGAAAAAGTATTAAAAAAGGTGATTATTTTAAAATGAACCACTTATTTTACCAACAAATAATAATAATATTGATGTAAATATTTTTTTTGTTTCTTTAAGTTACATACTTTTCTCAATTTATCAATCACAAAATACTTTTTATATTCATTTTTTTTACCATAAAAAGATATCAACTTAATAATAATCCTTGGTAATTAATGAACTATTTTTCTAATTTCTAATATAGAACACCGTTTACTTATAGTAAAGACTACCCAAACTCTTTTTTTTAACTTCAAAGACTTATGAATTAATATTGCCGTCTTAGTACTTTATAATAAATCTTGAGAATTTAATTCTCGTTTTTACTTCACATCCAACGAGACGTATTTCATATTACATATTTCAATTATTTACATTAAATCCAGTGTAATATACGTCTTAAAATTTTTGTTAAAACACGCATATTACTAATGAAGTTTCCTATACTATAATACTAAAATTATTACTTAACTTTTTAGTACAGTATGCGTAGGTTACATTCAGCTACAGTGAATGTTGAGAAAATTCCTTTGTTTACAAATGTGTCCAATATAGTTTCTATTTAATTCATCTCTTCATTAAAATGGTAAATAATTTTAATAACAATGTAAGTCTAATATTTTGTTTTATCGTAGTATTTTTTCTTGATTAATTAGTCATTTATCAAGGTAAAACGACCAAAAATGCACCCTTTCACAATTAGATGTTCACTTTTTAATCTTTCATATATTTCAATGCATTTTAAATCTAATTAATCGTTTAAATTTTAATAGATCGACTATAGCTCCAAAAACGCGACTAAAGCAAAATTTGCTATAGTAGTATTAGTATGGAAATTTAATGAAAAAAACTTGTAGTAAATATTTCTAAATAAAAATATTTAGTTGTAACTATAGATATTAGTATTCAGAAAAGGTACTGGGGTGCTAAAATCAAGTCAATGTATACTAAAGCATCCTCTAGAAACCCCAATAGTTATGCCACTACACCGCCTTATGTTCGTCTTTATGGGATTAAAGGGGTTCAAATTTTGATACACTTATAAAGATCTAATTTTAGGCTTCATTAGAAAACATAAAATCGTCACTATTATTCCATTGTTCAAAAATTAAGGTAACAGGTGAATTGTTACAAACAATGAAAACAATAGAATTTGAAAGTCCACCACAAAGTATAATATATAATTTATAATTTTATAAAATTGAATCATAAAAAATAACTATCTATTATTTATTTTATAAAATAAATTAAACTGTATAAAAAATATATATATTTAAAATACTTATTTTTTTATTACTTTAATTACTTCTAAGCTCAAAAACAATACAATAAGGTTTGCCTATAAATCTATATACTCATAAAATTACCTAGTTTTTATAGGTGCTAGTTATTTATCACACGTTTATTAAAAAATAGAATGATCCAAATATTTTGTTTGTCATTGCATAAAAATGATTAAAACGCATTTCTTTTTAATGAACTAAGCTTGATGAATTATACAGGATGTTCAGTAAGTGAGGAAACGGGTTTCTATTGTTCTCATTGTTTGTAACAATGAGAACAATAGAAACCCGTTTCCTGACTTACTGAACACTCTGTATAGTTAAATGGCAAATAATCGAAAAAACGGACGTTTAAAAAAAAAAATCGATTCATAATTTTTGTTGGCTTAAAAGTGTTCAAGAATCAGTGGCATAGTCAGAATTTCTTAAAAGTATAGAAGAATAATGTTAGCGTAATTCTTATAAATTACTCAAATTGCTCTTACTAAATTAAATTTTCGTTTTAAAGATATTTGTGCTCTATAATCTGTTCAAGTTTTTTTTTTTAATAAACGAATTAATACACGAATTTTGTTTGCGAATAAAAGAGTAACATTTTTTTAAACATCAAGTGTAAATACAAATTCTCTGTTAACGACATTTATTAAATAACTCCAAAGACATAGTACAAAATCAATTTAAAATGTTATACTAAGCAGCAAACATACGTGAAATACACGAGGAAAATATTTTAAATAACATACCAAGATAAATCTTTTATACGATATTAAAATAATAAATTTCTAAATAATAAATAGAAATAACAAAACCATTTTAATATTACACTTTTTACGTAGATTATTCCTTTTAAAATATAACTGCCAAAAATATCACAATAAAAATACTGCAAATACATTTTCGGCTTACCTTAGTGTGGTATATTGTTTCAAAAATGAACCATAAAAATATTTTAACAACGGCAATGATGCACTTTTATAGGAATTATCCGAGTTATACTCTCTTTTATTGTTGACAGATCTAATATGATTCAAAAATTGGCTAAACGCCAACATAGTTCTGTTGGCATTAATATTTTGACGATTAGACATTAATGTAAAACAACTCGGACCTATACCAGCCATTTCAATTATTGTTATCTATTGTTAAAAAAAAAAATTTAATTAATGCGTTCAATTAGTCAAATGGTCAAATTATTGTATTTATATTGTAATGACTGTAAATTATTGTCCAGCAGATTTTTAAATAAAAAAAAAATAAGTTTTTCAAATATGAAACTTATAACTCACTGTGTTACATTGTACGGCGAAAAAAATTAATGAAGATAAACATTATATAGATGCAGCAAAAAATAATGCCCGGGTTTTGAAATGCTATAAAATAAAAACTATTAAACTTAGAATTAATTTCTTTCTGAAACCAGATTATACCATTATTTTGTTATTTATTAAGTATATATAATTAAGTCAAAAACTACCAGAAACGATTGTCTCTAAAATGACCAAAATTGAGTAAATTAGTATATTAATATACAGATTTAGTAAATTTTGGAAAATTCCAGATACTTTTCGGCTTACTTCTTCGTGCAAACATATATTCCCCCTCAAATGAACCCCGTTGATTAAAATCACACGTGTGTAAATCCGGCGAGAGTTCCTTAATACCCCCGGGAAAGATCATTCGTTGTGGGGAACTTTTACCTAAATTTCAGGAAATTACGATGCTAATTTTTATAAATCATTACGTCAACTTTAATTGTTGTGATGGTTACAATGACACCCTTCTCGAACTGCTATCATTACCAAGATCTGACTAGCAGACTTTTAAAACCCAGTCGTTTTTATTTTTAACGCATCCTGTATATAAGGTTAACAATTTTATTTCGTTTTTTTTAAACCCGAAAATATAATCACTAAAATACTATTGGTCTACAACCTTCGCGTGAGTAGCTTTGTCTTCCAATAAATTTCGGATATGTATTGTTACTACAAAACTGCCTATGTGTACTAGCAATCCATTATCGTTAATAGCAGTTCGTTTCAAGTTAGCCTCTCTAAACATTTGTTCAGCCTCAGCATATGATTCGATATCCCGTATGGACACATCCTGAAAATGATACCTTTAACATTATTAAACAGTAAAATAAAATGAAAAAATCATTTTACTGATCTTTTGTTAATAGTAACATTATATTTTTAGGAGTCGCCTAAAATAAAAAATATACACAAGTGCAGAACCAGAGGGATGATAAGATCTCCGTACGACGTAGCCCACATTTCCCCGTTTTAATACAATATTATGATAATAAAATTTATAGGAGTAATTTCAACAAATTTTTTTATTATATGTAACTTTCCCATCTCTAAAATTTCTTTTTATATAAATATACATTTTGTTTTTCTATACATTAACCACTCTTTTTCCTGTAAGTATACCCTAGATCCACGTATGTACATATTAGTATCAGTATACTGTTACTAATACGAATACAGTAGAACTCCAATTATCCGAATTAATGGGGACCGGGACCTATTCACTGACTAATCAAAATAAACAATGACAGGTGACTGCAATGCGCCGGAACTGGAGTGGGAACTCTTACCACGTGTTGTGCCTACACTGACGCCGCGGACTTTGGACAAATTTTTTTCTGATTTTTTCTGAAAGTGATTCGGATAATCGGCGATTCGGATGATCGGAGTTCGGATAATTGGAGTTCTACTGTACCAGTAAAAAATTAATCTAGATGTTTAATTTACTACGGGCAAAATAGATTAAATTATCAACCTAAAAAAAAATGGGAGATAAAAAGGAGTATTAAATATATTTTGGTGTGGGCAATATATTCTCTTAATGCGGTTCTGAGTATACATACACATGTTATATTTTCATTTAACACTACAAAGTATTAAAAGAATTACTATACAGTGGTAAAACAATCAATAGATAGAAATTTTTACCTTTACTTTTGATGGCTGATGAACCGAAACAGAAAGCAAATCAAATACTTGATTGTCTTTGAACTCTACGCAGCTCATCTTATATATAAATCCTTCCGGTTTTTTGCTCTCAAATATGTCTTCAAAAAGTTTTATGACTATTCCTTCATTCTATGCAAACAGCTGTTACTCATGTTACATAAGTCATACAGTAAATAATTATACTAAATACACCCAGAGAAAATTGAGTAATCAACAAATGATAATTTAGTAAAATTTTAAGTGCTAACAGTCGAGTGCATTTGTAACGGAAAACTGTGTGTTTCTTGTGCATTACATAGTGTGCGAGCTACAGAATACTATTTTCTTTTTTATTAAATGTATTAAATCAACACGAATAAACATTATTTTATACTTTGTGAAAATATAAAACAGAGTCAGCATTTTGGTTTGGAGATGATTCAACCCCATGCCCTTATAGGATATCTCTGTATATTTTATATACATACTATGTAAACAAATTTTACATAGAAATTTTTTTTAAAAAATTTCTCAACATATTCATTTTACAGAGTGATTTTTTTATCATGACCCACTCAATTATTTAAAGAATTATAATAGTTTAAACATTTTTTTTTTCGATTATCTTTAGTTACACGTCATTCTTGAATTATTAACTATGTAATACTTTTTAAGTTCATACTTTTTAAGGGTGTCAACTTTGTTTTTTTAAATGGCAAAACATATTTTGAATTTAAGAAAATGTTGGAGTTTTTAATTTAATAGTAAATGGCATTGGAATTTTTAATATAACTATTTGTTTATTAGATTTAAACATTTAAAGTTTCAATTTTTTGAGTTAATATATAGGTATAATATACAAGGGATTACAAATACAGGTAGCTAATTGGTTTTTTATAACATTGCTGTCACAGTCACGGATTGTTTATTATTAATTATGACTATCAATAGATATACTTTTTGTATTGTCAGTTAGTGTATTAATAAACTCACAACAATGTACCTTACTACCGTAGATAATAACAATGCTGTGTATCTGCAAAATTCAAATGCTATTTACTATTAAATTAAAAACTCAAACATTTTATTAAATTCAAAATATGTGTTTCCATTTAAAAAAACAAAGTTGACATCCTTACAAGGCATATAAGGGATGAACTTAAAAAGTATTACATAGTTAATAACTCATGAATGATGTGTAACTAAAGATAATCGAAAAAAAAAATGTTTAATTTATTATTATTCTGTAAGTAATTGTGTGGGTTATGATAAAAAAATCACCTGTTTATAAATATACATAGTGAGTCACGATGACATCGACAAATTCAATAACTTTTGATCCAATTAATATTGTACGTTAGTTTATTTTTTAAATAATTTTTATACATGAGGACCATACAAATAACATAACATACCATAATTATTTAGTTTATTAAAAATAATTTACTTTACGAAAAATGTCAATATATCTATTTTGTAGAGTAGATTTTAACAAAAAATTGGTAAAAAAATTATCTTACAAATATTCAGTAGTGAGTTAACTATAGCGTTTCAAAATTTATAAAAATTTGAATATTTATGTTTTATATTTTGATATTAAACATGAATCGATAAAAGGACAGAAGAAAACGAAATATTTTCACGCTAAATATTAGTATGTAACTTTTTCCATGACAATTATCAAAAAAAAAATATCTTATTGATATTCAATAGTAAATTATCTATAGCATTTTAAAATTTATAAAAATTTGAATTTTATGTTTAACATTATGATAGTAAACATTACATCGTGCATTGAGAAAAGAACAGAAAAAAAGGTGTTCAGTACCATATATAGTATTAAATACATTTTCATTCTTGTAGTAAATTCTCCATGATGTACAGAAAATTATTTGTTTTGAATTCATATCACAAATAATCTATCTAATGATATTCATATAAAATATCAAAAAAATAAGAATTTTATTAACATAATAGGACAAATATAAATTATATACCTTTTCTATTTCCAAATTATTATATTGATAAAACTGAACAGTCACCATATGGGTGATATTAGAATATTAGTTGCTAAAATCAATTTAACATTACTCACAATTAATTTCTTCTAAAATCAACGATTTTTTTTTTTAGAAAATAAGCCAAAATGAAATATAAATATTTTGTATTACTCAAAAAAAAAAAAAATGAATTGGTTTAAACTTTTTTTTCTTTTAAAATTATATTATTCATTGAAAAATAAAACATTTCCTAGACTAATAAATGTTATGAAATTAATTTTTGGTTTCAAATTAAAATATAATTGGTTTAATATTGCTTATTGTGTAATTGGTAATGTTATAAAGTGATTGTGGGTAATAAGTATATTAGTTCTATTAAAATTTATAATGCAACAACTATGTCAATTAACTTTTTTTTCGATAATAAGATATTCGTTATAATGTTAGTTTAAATTTATTTTCAGAAAATTTATCAACAATATAAACTTTATAACTCTAACACAACATAGATACATAATTTTTATAGTAAAAAATTCTAAAAAACAGCTATCAAATATAATAATAATTTCTTTCCCAAATATATAGTAAATAATTTATTACATAAAATGCTTAAATTAAAATGACTAAGAGGTCCTTAATATTAAAAACTTGTATCAACTAATATTCCATAGAATAATATTATACCTTATATTCTAAAAGTTATTCATGTGTAAGTAATGCTTGATAGTATTTCCATTTTAGCGGCAGAAATCAATTATAAATCTTTATAAGAAATGGGCTTTCAAACTTAATATTAGAAATTGCTTCTCCGTATTTACTGTGACCAATTCGTATATTTAATACTAAAGAAAATTTGATGTTAATAATTTTTTTAATAAACAAAAAATGTACAGAATATACAAATTATTTATACTCTATAATGCAATGTTAAAAAACATAATTTTGCATTTCCCAAGTTAAATTATCATGCACTTATAATAAATTAATACCAATGAGATCTTAAAAAATACTTCTACTCAAATTTTATGTAATTAACAGGCGCTCATAAATAATTGTCATGGGAAAAGTTACATACTAACATTTAGATACAACTAAATATTTTGTTTTCTTCTGTCCAGAATAAATATCAAAATATTAAACACAAATATTCAAATTTTCATAAATTTTAAAATGCTATAGATAACTTACTACTGAATATTAGTAAGATATTTTTTTTATTAATTTTTTTATTAAAATCTACTCTACAAAATGGATATATTGACATTTTTCGTAAAGTAAATATTTTTTAATAAACTAAATAATTATGGTATGTTTTGTTATTTGTATGGNAATATTTTTAAATAAACTAAATAATTATGGTATGTTATGTTATTTGTATGGCCCTTATATACAAAAATGATTTAAAAAATAAACTAATGGTAAAATATTAATTGGATCAAAAGTTATTGAATTTGTTAATATCATCGTGACGCATTCTGTACTCTAATTTTAATTGTATTTTTATCAGTATATCAATTAATTTGACATGTCATTTTTATCATACGGGGTGTTTAAATAAATAAATATATAGTATACAGCATATAAANATCATACGGGGTGTTTAAATAAATAAATATATAGTATACAGCATATAAACATATATGTGAACTACTCACATGATATTCCGTTCCGGCAATGGTAAATGTCTTACCCGAACAGTGTGGGCCACACGCTACAATGACACTGTCGATACCAATAAAGAAACTTAACAAAAATATTTTGGATTAATTTACGCGATTGTATTAGAACTTTTTATACAAAAATCTTTTTTAGTTATAGTTAAAAATATATTATTTATTTAATGTATGATTTATAATCAGGATCGAAAGTATAGATAACTCGTGGGAGGGATTAAGCCCAGGAGAATATTTTAGAGATAGATATGGTCGTCTTGCCTACACTAGCGTTTAAAAAAATGTGTGGAGCTTACATTTATGTTTTATGTCTCTAGGTTTTAATGAATATTTTGGTAAAAAAATTGATTTCTGATTTTCTTAATATGAAATCTTAAATTTTGTATTGAATCTCAAACATATTTACGGTAGCAAAAAAAAAAAAATGAAGACGTCACTTCCGTCCTCCAAAAAGGAATTCGAAAACGTCCCAGGTTCAACCCCCTCAGAGGGGCTGAATAGCCCCTGTTCATAATGATTTTATATATTGGGTGCGCAACTAAGTTCTAGCCGTTTGTCATTAGATGGTTTCAGAAGTAAAGTGCTAGTCGATTTTGACATATCTAAAACGTCATGAACCAAACTGACACATGTAGTAAACAAACCGCATTAACACGTTAATGATTTCATTGTAACATCATATACTTTTAGTCGTGCGAACATTTTGTGACAAATAATCGTCATTTGCGAGAAGTGTTAATTTTCTTATTTCATTCAAAGAAAACTGCAGCTGAAGCGAATCGAGAGTTAAAAAATGTTTACGGAAATGCTGCTCTGAGTGAAACAACGTGCTGTGATTGGTTTCGACGCTTTAAAAATGGCGATTTCGGTGTTGACACGACTGTCCGCGTGAAGGAAGGCCAAAAGCCTTCGAAAACGCTGAATTGGTAGAATTTCTCGATGAGCATCAGTGCCAAACGCGAGAACACTGCTCGGTATTGGAAGTTACCCGTCAAGCGATTCCTAAGCGATTGCATGCGTCAGGAATGACTCAAAAGCGAGGAACTTGGGTTCCTTATGATTTGAAACCGAGGGACGTTGATCGACGTTTTTTCGCTTGAAAAAAAAAATGCCATGGGGACTGTCCGGTCACCTTCTACGTCGTCGGCTCGGCCGAATATACACGCCGCGAAGGTTTACTGTGTATTTGGTGGGACCACATTGCCGTTATTTATTATGAGCTGTTGAAACCGAACGAAACCATCGCTGTGGAACGGTATAGACTTCAATTGATGTGACCAAGCCGAGCGCTGCGCGAAAAACGACCACAATACGAGCAGAGACACGAAAAGTGATTCTACTGCATGACAACGCTCGGCCTCGTATTGCCGAACCCGTTAAAACCTACATAGAAACGCTCAAATAGGAATTCCTACCCCAACCTCCACATTCCCCAGATATTGTCCGATTGTTTCTTGTTCCGTTCGATGGCACATGGTCTGGCTGATCAGCAGTTCCGCTCATATGAAGACATCAGAAAAACGGTTTGATTCGTCGATAGCCTCAAAAGAAGAACACCTTTATCGTATTCGATCTGTGCCAGAAAGACGGGAAAATTTTTTAGCTAGCGATGGACAATACTTTGAATAATATATATGTAAATATTTTTTCTAAACAAAGTTACATTTTCATAAAAAAAAAAAAACAGCCAGAACTTAGTTGCGCGCCTAATATAATGTAAATTATTCGTTATAATAAGATAACTGAAAAACAATGTATGGAAACATGTACTTAGAAAATAAATGTAATATAGAAGTATTAAACATAAATCTTATTATTTTGTCTATTATTAGAGTATACAAGGCTATCAATTTTTGTTAAGAGAATAAATATTTGATTAAAAGACTGACAATAATAAATATGTGGCTTAATTTTTTTTCAAACCTTTAGAGTTAGAAGATCGTATTCATATATGTTTTCTCCATCCACTCTACGTACCCACTTTATGTATTAAAATACTGTAACGGTTGAACGGTTAGGACAAACTAATTGTGAGAACAAAATTGTTTGTAATTTTTTTCTGACATATTATCAAGTTAAAAGTAAGGGTTCTTATTTAAGATAATTAAATTAAAATTTGTTTAACCCTAAAGTATCGAAGAAAAGATTTAACCACATATTATTGTAAAATTTTTTGAACCAAATAAATTTCCTGTAGCTTCTGAGAAAATGAATGGCTTACAAAAAATTGGCAACGCTATATATATATATATAATTAAATACATATTTTTTGTACGGATAAATACAATTTTAATTGAACTAATTATTTAAAGTATAAATTAGACAATAGTTTTGTTGTTAAATAGTTATTAGGTAATTTTCTAAGAACTAAAATAAAAATACAAATTATTGTTATACTTTTTAATCAATCCTTTAGTAACTATATTACTTATAAAAGTTTGGCAACAATTGTGAAAAATTCCATCGGCCCAAAAATTTAAATGTCTAATGCAATTGCCTCGCAGCCGATTATCGTTTGATTGATTTGGTTTAAGGCGTAACAGCTACACGAAGTAATCAAATTATCGTAATTCATTAGTAAAATTTAATATAATATTAAATCGATGTAATAATACTTAACTCTGCCGTTTTGACCTATTATATAATGATCGTGATCAAACATTGTTGTGGGCATAAGTGATATGTAAAATTTTAAATCGAACTCCATTAAAAAAAGTTAAGTGTGATCAAATATTCTTGCGGTCAATCTGATTAAGACCAGTGGAAAAATCAAAATAATACGAGAAGAATTAAATTCTTTTATATTAAATTATAAGACATTTTCTAATAATTTTACACAATAAAAGTAGCGACAAATTTTTCTGTAACCATAACAATATTATTATGATACTTACAGTAAAATTAATCAAAATAGTTTTATATCAAATGATTATTATCTTATTTTTTCAAAAAGTTTTTTGATGTCATGAATACCAGTAAAATTATTTGACTTATATTTGAAACCATAAATAATATTAAGATTTGTAGAAATAAATGAGCTTAAAAAGTCTTTTCAAGTAGATTTTTAATGTTGAGTAACTCTTACATAGATATATTGAAATAGCAGTGAGCATGACCTGTGTTAAGGAGTGTTACCAGGGCACATTATACACATTTTTCGGGGTAGTGCAGAAAAATTAAATAAAAAAATAGGTTTTTTGATTAACTTGAGTTTATTGGTTAAAATTACACTGGCCCTGGAAAATTATAATACCGGCCTTGATAATAAAATAATACTCCTTCTGACCATAGATCTCTTGGCGACAGTTAAATCAAAGACGTTTCGATAAGAAATAATTGACATTTTATATGAATTAATAGCGTCCCAATTTCAGTTTTCAAAAAAAAAAATTGGCCACAAGTTCAACTACACTTATTTTTACTTAAATAATTATATTAAAAATCATTTGTCACTGTATATTACAGGTTTATCCTTTAATTAAACTTTTCCGCTAAAAATAAGTGATAATAATTGTATGGCTTCATATGTATACAATAGCAATATAATCAATATAAATGAATTTTTCAAATATTTGTTAAAATATAGCTGAACATATGAATTTATTGATTTTATTTCCAATCTTATAGTATTTATTATTTCTATCAATTATACTTTCTTATGCTTTCATAGATTTTTAACTAAATATATTACCAATTATAAATTGAGCTACTAAAATTTTATAATGTTTAAAGAATATGCACCTTTTCTAAGTCTTTTCCTTTAAAATATATAGTAAGATTATAGGTGGTCCAGAATTTTAATTTTTTGCTCGTATTACTACAATTAACTTCAAGCATAAATGAAAATAATTAAAAAAAAAAAATGGAAAACTAATAAAAGTCTTATAACTTGGTAAATATTCAACTAATTATTATCAAATGGTATTTAATATACAGAGTGTTCAGTAAGAGTTTGTTTTTTAATTTTGTTAGTTATATATGTATCTTTATTTATCTGTTATAAAATTATTTGTACAAATGGTTTTAAGATAAAATATAATTATCTGGTACTATGTCGTTCTATAAAAGTGATATTAGGTAGCTTTTCTTTCTCTTTTAAATCTTTCATCAAAATCAAATGTGTTAATTTTTGGAAATGTCGTAGACTCCCAGTTGCTGTCTATTAAAATAATAAGTCAAAACAAATTCTTTTCGTATGTATGTAACAAGACGCATAAAAAGATAGCCGACAACAACACTTTCTATTTATATTTTAAAATGTTAATAATAAATTATCAAATAAAAACTTTCAAAAATTACACTTTCATGAAAATGTGTATAGAATAATTTATATTTGTTTATAATTTAATAAATACTAAATTAACATCATTTAATAGAAAATAGAATTCATCAAAAAAAGAATATAAAAAATGTATGAGTAAAATTATTCTTTTCATTTCAAACTTTTAAAAAAGGTTTTATAATCAACAAACAATTCTAATTTTAATACATCAATAGTTGAAATATGTTTACTAAAACTTCTGATCCAAGAGCATGTATGTACTATTAGTAATTTGTATAAAGTATAATTTGTCTACTTTTAGAGTCTCTAAATCTTCTTAATTTGTAATTTTTTTATTTTAAATTTGAGCACAGGTTATAATAGGTAATGTTTTACACTATCCCATTGGTTTTAAATTTAAAGGAGAGATCACTTTTGAACTAGAAAGCATAATAAAGTGCTAAATCTTGTAATACTATGTAATGTATTATATCAAAAAATTAGTTAATTTGCAATTTTACCTTTCTAAATATAAATATATATATTACATTGATTAACAAAATACATAAAATATACATAATATTTAATGGAAAAAATAGTTTTATTAATATAAAATAATATGTTAACAAGTTTAATAATCAACGGGTGTAAAACAATGTTAAGACACCAATATTTAACAATAATAAAATCAAATAATCATCCTTAAGATATGATAGTAAAAATTTGTTCTAATAATTTAATATTAAATATTAATAATTCATTATGAAAATAAATAATCATTAAACACATGTAAAAAGTCCAATGTGATTAAAAGTAAATATTAATTTAAGAAATATAAGTACTATAAAAAACATTTAACTAACAAATAAGTACTGTATTGAAAAAGTAACATAAACTTAATAATTATTTTAAATTATGATATGAAAAATACTTAATGTATAAAATAATTAAAACTTGGTATATATATATATATATATATACTCTTTGAGTAAATACATTGGCATAGTTTGTAATTAATTTATTACTTATCAATTCATATAATAACTTATAAAAAAGTGTTAGAGAATTAAAACAATAATGAATAATTTCATTTAAGAAAAAATAGTATACAAATTAAAACTAAAAATAATAATACTTCAATACAAATATTCATAATATAAATTACATTATCTATAAGAGAAAAATTTGTTCATGAATGGATGTCATTTAACAAATACCAAATAACATAAACACGAGTAAAATATACATAAATATATTTAAGTTTAAGTCAATAATAACTGTGACCCTGTAAAATTTATTAACATTTTGAGCATAATAACTATAAACTAAATTAAACGTGAATTTTTTAGGTAAAAAATGAGCAATGAATGGACAAATTTGTATTGAGTAACAGTTTCTAAAAAAAGCATACGTTGATGTCTTGCTAATGATATAGTTTTTGGTATATCCAGCTCCTAAAATATATATTTAAACAAAATTAAAAATATTTTAATTTACAATATAATTTTTGACATGTACATAAAACATAACATTTAGTTAATTGTATAATTGATTAGCTAAGCACAAAATTAGTAAGAAACTTAAGTTTTGAAAATAGTTAGAGAAAGTTAATCTGTCTTATGCAATACTGAAATGATGCCCAAGGAAATTATAGAACTATAGATTGTTATACATTGTACTAATATAAATCTGAATCTTAACTCAACAAATTAATACATTTTAAGTAGATGGATTGAATATTCAAAAATTATTCGGTATTAGGCATATTCAGATTACATTTTGAAAGTAAATTAAATTAGTCTATTTAGTGTCACTTCATTCAAATAAGTAATAAAATTCAAATTAAATCAGAAATAATTTTCTTAATTAAGTAATTTAGTAGTTTTTGATGTATATAGTATGTATATAGTTTTCATTTTCATATTAGAATTAATATTTATACTAGATAATCAAATCTAGTCAATATTTAATAATCAAATAAATTAAAAAACTAATAAATAAATGTAATAGTAGATGTTAAATATTTTGCACCGAATAATACCAACTATTTGACTGTGAATACCGAATGATATCAACTTTAAAAATATTTGGCTTTATTGTGTATCAAAAAAAAATTGGTTTTTCCAAATTTGCTAATTCTAATTTCAAAATGACTAATAAATTAATAAAATTAATTATTTAATGAGAAAAATTATTTTGGTGTTTAATTTAAAATGGTTTAAATTTTAATTGACCCCAAATTCTGGACCTAATGTAATAAAATGTAACAATAAAACATACTTGATTGTGATCTAGAGTGTATAATAGAAGATCACTTATTACTGTAAGACCTGTTCTTCCAACTCCTGTACTACAATGTACAAGGACTGGTGGATTGCGATTTTGTCCTGTGGGTATTTCAGTTATGGTATGTTCACGAACTGAACTCATTTCTTCCAAAAACCCTAAAAGTAATATTCATTTTTATTTATAATGGAGAAATAAATAAAATATGAATTATTAGTACCAAGAAAATGTGACACATTTAATGGACAGTCCTGTTCAGCCCACTGGTTATATTGCAAATGCCATACACTTCTTGATCGCCTAGATGAGTTATGCTGAAGTTTAAATTTACTAGTAATACAATGACCAGTTTCTTGTGTAAATTGAAGCCATACATGGTACTGTATTTAAAAATAAAAATAAAAGAAATAATTATTTAAAGTATAAACTATAAATTCATAAATTTTAAATAATATACTTCTCCAAATTGTACAGAATGATCTGCAACTGTTGGAAAGTAATCACCAAAGCTTTCATCTATAGAATTAAATTTTGGTTGAGATAAGTCAAGAATAAGGTGAACACCAGCTTCCCACGCCATTTGCCAAAAATGATTAACAGTACTTGGTAATGGAGATTGAGTAGCTATATAAAACCTCTGTTCATTACCAACTGATGCCTGAAATGTTAAAAACACAATTTACATAAATTTAGATATACTTAAAGCACTTGCATGTTTTATTTACAGTTATATGAGAAGCATTTATGTATCCAAATCTGTTTTCTTTACTAGGAGATAGGCGCACCCGATTCTCTTCATAAGGAAGAATATCTTTATGTCTAAACAAAAATTTTCTGTTTTAGTTTTGAATTAATAGGTCATATTAATGTCCAGTAGCAAAAAGACGTAAGTCCAAAAATATATTTTTTATAATTTTGTTTTTCCTATCTAGTTATAAGCTAATTTGTAAAAAAAAAGAAAAATAATTATTTTTGGACATACTTTTTTTTGAAACTGAAACATTTTAATATACCTATTTCTAGAATAATTTTCAAGTACAAATGCAGTAGAAAATTCAGCATTTGGTTTAACTTTTGTAATCTTATCAAATTCTTGAAACAGTTGAGCATCTTCTAGTTTATTTTGCAATAATTGACACTAAATTAAAAAAATAAAATATAGTACTACACAGAAATGAAATTTAAATATGGATAATACATACCATTGTATCCTTAGATATGGTAGATGGAATGGGTAGTCCTGTTGGTGTAGCAGAGCGAGAATTCCGTTGATTGATATCTTCACTTTGAGTACCAGCATTACCATTTCTACCTAAAGTTTTACTTTTAACAGCACCACCTAATAAACCTGCCCATATCCGACGATTTTTTCTTTCTTTTTTCAATGTTCCACTATTACTACTTTGATTCGAAGAATCTACAATAATCAATTAACTATTTAATTAACATTCTAAAAATATTACAAGTTTATAAATACCAAAAGATTGTTCTGCTGAATGACTTATAGTTGTTGAGTTAAGTTGAGAAGACACATTTGAAGTATTGCTGATATCTAATGATAAATTTTTTACTGAAGCAGTTCCTTTTTTTATTGTTACTGGTATACTATCTTCTTTTGAAGGTTTCTGTATTGGTTGTAACTTTAATGAAACCTTAGTTGGTGGTGATATCATTTCTGGAGCAGACTGCACACTTGAAGCTCTACTGCGAATTTCTTTTGAATTCCATGGCAACGGCACATTTTCATAGATAGGCTCAGTAAATTTAGCTACAACTTTAAAAAAAAATGTTATAGCAATATATAGGTTAGAAAAGATCTAACTAACAACACCTATAACTTATGAAATAATTAACATTTTGTTGTAATTTTTTTTTAATAATTTATGCATTCTTAGTCATATTAAAATTATATTTTTTATTATTTGATTTTAATAATAAAAATATGGGAGGGACGGTGTGTCTGAGTTGATAATTCGGCAGTGATTGATGCGTACTGCCTCAGGTTTGAAGCTCAGTCATATTTACTCTGCTTTATTTACCAAGTGAGAAATCAGTTCTGTGGTAATTGGAGTAGCCATCCTACTCTCTGGCAACGGATTAACCACCTATCCTAGAGTATCAATGGTTAAGAAACCTCCTCTTTTGAGGGAGGTTGCTATGGCTTTAATAGGCTTATAAAGTATTAAAAAAAATTAATTAATTAGTTAATTTTTACAAAATTAATTTTATTATTGAATTACAATTATTTTAATACATAATAGTTTCATATTGAGCATGAGTGGCATATACATTATAAATATATACCAGTACGAGTTACAACTATGCTAAAATAACTAGTCGATAATAAATTTTGGACCAATATTTCAGAAGTTATTGATTTTTTAAATAAATATTTAAATAATATTTTGACTAAAAAATCGAAAAAATTTGTAACTAAAATAAACCAATAAAAAACTATTTTTATTTACAATTAAGTGATCAATGATAAATGAATCATTCTATATAAATTGTATTTAAATAAAAATGAATATATACATATTATTAAATAATAATAATAATTATTAAAATATTATTAAAAAAAAAAGGTTTCTATAATATATTTATACTAAGATGGTCTTATTATTAACTTTTGAATTTAAACCGTTTCACCAACAATGTCGGAATAAAAAAAAATTCGTTTTTCAAAAGTTAGTCAAAATTGATTTTAATTCTAAGACATAAGAGGGTTGAAAATCAAACCTCGAGTAGATTTTTTTGTTTATATCAAAAACTAAGACATCCATGACAAAAATTAAAATAATATAATTTGTAGATATAATGTAATTGTATATAAAAAGATATTTACAAGTTTTATTCTAAATTAATTATTTTTCCATAAAAAGTAAAAAATATACTCTTTTTTTTTATTTATACTTAAAATATAGGTTATATTATTCACATATTTGACTAATTGCTCGTTATACAAAAAAGTGTTTCATACAAAAGTTGTTTAACATTCTATTTTCTAAAATTTATTTTCAATAAAAATTTTTGTACCTTTATTTTATTTTCTAAAATACTGACTTGAATTAAGAATAACATTCTTACATAATGAAAGAAAAAAAATTGTACTATTAATCATGATATTATATCTTTTATATTGTAATATTATTTAGTACTGTATCAGACAATTTTTACTAATGCAAAAAAAGAAAGTGGTTGTATGTTTGTTACAGATTATAAATTATATCAAAAAAAAAAATAATAATTTTAAATTAATTGAAAAACAAAAAAAAAAACGATCATACTTAAAAATGGAAAAAATTTATAAGTTTTAATAACGATTTATATATTTTATTAATTTTTATTTTACACTTTATAATTGATCTACTTTATCAGATAAAGCCATATGAATAGAAATGACCAGCAGTGATACTTCATAAGATGAGGTTTGTAATCTTAATTATTCTGAAGAATATAGGGTGTATCCCGGTGAATCAAGATTCTGGTAAACCAGGTCTATCAAAAATTTGCAGGAGAGGAACTTCAAAGCTTTTGACTTTGTCAACTACTATCTCAACTACAAGCTGCTTTGGATAAGTGCAAAATTAGTGATTGTATGGTAATTTATATAATTACAGCAACTGTTGAATCGTTGGGTAATAATATTTCTAAGTTAGTAATAAGTAGATCATCTATCCAATGCAACAGAAAACTTTTTAAAGAAAATAAAGGTAATTAAAAAAGTTTTTAATTGTTTGATAAAGATAATCTTTTTTTATACTGAGATGGTAAAATGCTTTCTGATAAAAGGAAAAGTCAAAGTGAATAGATTACAAGTTTTAGCGTCATTTAAAGAAAAGACTCAGCACCTTGATGTTCAAAAATTTAAGACAGTACAGGTAAATAATATGATAATGAAATGTATGATATATTAAATTAATAGGATATTACTAAAAAAATACAAGCATTATGCTGTGACATTACCACATCTAACATAAGTAAAATTAAAGATGTCTGTATTTTATTAGAACATTTAATAAACTAAAATCTTCTATACTTACAATGTAAAAGACATATATCGGAATTAGTATAAAGAAATATTTTTGAAGTAAAACTAAAATTAAGTACAACATGTCTCTATGTACTTTTATTTAAAAAATTGTATGATAATTGGCCAAATAGAGATACAAAATTTTTGATAGTGGTATAACTGATTTATTTGTATGTACTTCAATTAATGACGGCTAATTTAAAATGATTCACTTTTACTTAAAAACATTATAAGTTCAAAAATGTCGCGATGACTACAAAGAAATTCTTGAGCTTTCATTAATTTTTTAAGAGCAACTCCTCTAAATGGAATTTTCAGTACCTTGGTGATTTTAGTCATGTTAGATGGATGTCAAAAGCTATTTATTCTTTAAATTATACTAGTTTAGAAAACAATTTATTCTAAGTTCAAAAGAAGAGAATACAATTATAAATATATGTATTTTTTTGGTTAAAATATATATTGAGTACTGGTTTATATGACCTAAATTTGTTCAATCTTCTTATAATGATTATGACTTTTTAATATCATTAACTTAATATCCAGATGCTGTAATTTCTAAAGCCATTGTACATAAATTTAGTGTTCATCTTTGGTATCTTTTTCCTAAATATATTGCACTATAATTATTTGATGATCAAGTTCAATCAGAAATAAAAATTAAATTGGTATAAGCAACTAAGGAACTTCTAGATACAAAGGAAATTAATACCTTTGCGAAAAAAATTAGTTTATCAAAAAATATAAACACTTTTACAAAAAAAGAATTTAATGATTTTGTGAATATAGAATTATTAGAATTCAAGAGTTCAAATGTCGTGTGATTTTTCAGAACTTCATCCTAACAGTTGGATTGAAAATAATGAATATATTAGAGGTAAAAATATGTTATCACAATTACTTGTTGTCAAAGGGGAGTCAAATTAATACAAGAGTATAATTAACCAAAGATAAAAACACGAAGCAATTTTTACTACAAGTTGTTAATGATTATCACGAATGATATGGTGATTACAAAAAAAAAAAAAAAATATATTGATAAATCAATAGTATTAATTTAAAATAATTCTTATAGTTGCATGTATTTTTTTTTAGCTATGAATTATAATTTTTTAAATACTATATTACAATGACTCAGTGATATTTTTTTAACTACATAAATATTTTATATAATTATTGTAAAAAAAAATCAAGTTTTATAAATATAAATTGTGATGTAGTTTTAATGTATATTAAATTAAAACACGGAATGAGTTGAAAATACAAAAATTTTATTGAAAAATTTGGAGAATAGAATTTTAAACAACTTTTGTATGAAATACTTTTTTGTATAACGAAAGGTAATTCATATATATCATGTTAATAAAATAACTCTTCTTTTTTATACAAATAAAAAATTTATGTTTTTAACTTTTTTGGAAAAATAATAAATCTAGAACAAAATTTGTAAATATCTTTTTATATACAATTACATTATATCTTCAAATATATTCTTTTAATTTTTGTCATGAATGTCTTAGTTTTTGTGATAAACAAAAAAAAATAAATCTTCTCTCTTACGACATGTTTCCACAAAGTATGGGGTGAAACGGTTAAAATTAAATAAAAAAATTCTGCGTTTATAGATAAGGGCCACCGTATTCTAAACAATTGTCTAGAAGTTATGACAACTCTAGCTTTTAAAAACTTACCATTACTACAATTATGAGGTCTTTCATGAGCAAGCATGCTAGTAAAAGGTTGATTTAAAATAGGACCATATTGACCCATATAATACATCATATTATTATCATTGAAACCATTTCGAAATTCATTTAAATTCTGAATATAAAAAAAATATTAAATTATATAGATTAATAAATATATACTATAGTAATTGTATTACTTGTCTTGATCCAACTAAAACATTTAAATTTGTATAAGTTCTGTGAGTATCTGAATTTGATAGTGTTTGGTTAGCATTATAACGATTTGGTATCATATGAAAATGTGTTCCTCTAGAAGACAAAAGATCTGGACTAGATCCACTAACCTAAAAAAATTCATGTTGTAATTATAAAACATATGTTAACATTTTTTTTTTATAAATGTTTATGTGTAATTATCTGTGATAATACTTACTGGATTTTGCATGTATCCTAAAGGACAAGCTCTTGCTAAATCTGGTGTACTGTTGCTAATTGGGTATGGTGGAGGTGGTTTATATACTTGCACATACTCAGAATCACGATTGGTTATATCTAAATCTGATGCTTGCCTAAAAATATTGATATATTATATATAGTAATTGATTAATCTATTGTACACAAAATAATAATAATAGGTACACACCCATGACTGGGATGAACTGTTGTTGACATATTAACTTGTGTTACATCAGGAAATTGCTTGAAATCATTGGTATACTACAAACAATATCATAAGTTAATCATAGAAAATTCATTAGATTTTACACACATTTTTTATTGTATTTTGTTATTTTATAATATATTGTCAGTTATTAGGTCATAAGTGTAACTTTTATGATTAAAAATTTTTAGAAAATACCAAAATATAATTTATTTCACATTATTATTCAAAATAAATGTTTTTTTCTACTTTGAATTTAGATAGGAGCAAAGTGTTTGTTGATTATAATTTTGAAATTTTTGTTAAATATCTTGAAAATATCTGTTAAACGACAAAAACTAATTGTATTTTAAACAAAAAATAAATATCAACTTCAGGTAATTTTTTATTTTTTAAATATATTTAAATTAAATTAAGTAAAAATATTTTAAAAATAAAGTGTAGCTAAACAACATTTAGTATCCTTTAACAAATTATAAATGTATGTTTTTTTTATTTTTAAAAATATACAAGTAATCACATTTCTACTAAAATTTAATAAGAAAGTTACCACCATTTGTACAAAATACAATGAATACATTATTTATTACATTCAGTACTATTTCTGCAGGGGAATTCGTTAGGATCACAGGCTCAACAACCCAAAAAATTAAAGTTAATTCAGGGGAGGGTGGTAACACGTACCACTGCTCTTAGCCGGTCATGACTCTGATTAGTTGGGACGGTAGGCTTGAGCATACCTGCTTGCTAACAGCGAATAGGCCTTCAAACCCAGCCATATCAAATAAATGAGTTGCTAACTTGTCACAGAGTAGTTAGCTGAAAGGTAAAGTGACCATTGGAATCCTCTATGGCACCTGGTGCACCATAGAGTATACAGCCTTATCATAGTATGGAGCTTTGCTGTGATGGACTTTTATTCAATGAATTTGGGATAAACAGGGATACTACGGACAACTTGTTGGAACAAGAACATGAACTGGCGGCTTTTGCAGAACAATTGTCAAACTTGAAAGTCTCAATGCGAACAACGAGACACTTGATGAACCGTCTACAAACAAAGAGACAGCATTGTCAACAAATACAGACCAGGAGTCGCAAGATCAACTATGAGAAGTAGCGGACAAAATCGAGGGTGTAAATCTTAGACCTGAGAAACTCAATCTAAAATGTTTATCAAGACCCTCGGTCTACTGCTGGGTGATCTTAATAGCATGACTAAACATCAAATAAGCACTTTGATTGTTCTACTGACAGGACATAGTCACTTGCTTAAACACCTTTACACAATGGAGGTATCGGAATCACCATTGTGCAGGAAATGTGGAATAGGAGAGGAAGACTCAATTTACATAATGAGCGAATGTGAAGCCTTGTCCACACTATAAATAAATACATAAATATACTACATACATAAACATATAAACATACTATAAATACATGAGTAAACCTTTTCCTGAAAAAGAAGATATTAAAAACCTAAGACCTAGAGAGATACTTAATTTCGACAGAAAGACAGGACTCCTTGATTATCCACAGGGATGACTTGATGGTCCACCCTTATAGAATGATATATATAATGTGATAAAACTTAGGTGTGTAAAACGAATCAAGACAATTCGGTATGAAGTGTGCACAATGGAACAATAGGTCTGAGTTTATTATTATCTGATATTATGTTCACCTTATTAATAACTAAAACTAAAACTATCCAGTACTTTTTTTAAAATATCACAATGTATAAACTTTAACTAATTGTTATCATAAAAATTGAATTAAAATATATTACTTGATGAAGGTTTATGTCTTGATGACTTATTGATGTGGTAGGAATTAAATTTGGAGTTTGGTTGTAATAATTTCCTTGTAAATATTTACGCTGAACAGCTGTTTCATAATCTGGTGCCAAGCGATAAGATGGCAATTTAGATCTATCAATCATTTAATAAAGTAAGTTATGTTAAGTAGACAAAAATATGTACTAGAAAACAAGCTCAATATTACATAGATTTATGTCCAGTTTTATCAAATCGAAACTTATCACAGGTTTGAGTTGATGACAAATCCAAACAAGATGTTGATTGTGCACGAATACCATTCAAGGGAAATGGCCCCCTTAAAATATTAGAGTCAGGCGTATCAACAGTATCTAATTCATCACGACTACTGTCAATATTGTTCTAAAATTTTTTATAGTTTTATTTAGCCAAATTCAGTAATAATGATTGAATTATATGCATTTAAAAAAATTTGTTAAGTTATTCCAAACACACCATCAGTCAGTGCAAATCTTTATTGACTTAAAAATTTAGTTATTTATTGTTAACAAAGTTGGAGTTATGAGGGGTTTTTTCCTCTTTAAAAGCGAAAAATATTTCTACAATACTATAAAATCCTACAACAAAGTTGCACAAACAAGACCCTTCAAAGTGAATCAAACAAAACTTATAAATGCATATAACTTTTAGCTCTAAATATAATATTATACTATACTAATATACATACATCCATTTGCAACTCTAAAGATTTTTTCAAAGCATCATCTTTATTATCATCAGGATTATCAATTTTTTCGTGTAATCCATAAAACATGTGCTGAATAACAAAGACAAATAATAATATTAGGTAATTTATGTAGACACATAAAATTTTTTAAGTAATATAAGACCTGTAAAACACACATATTCCATACATATTTTGCTGTTTCAACATCATTGAATTGAAACTGAATAAAATTGTCATGTCGTCCTTCTATACTAAAATATCTTTTATGGTTTATGACATTTGCTATATCTTCCCATCTATATTAAGTACACATAATTATATCACAAATAATATATATTTTAAGTAATTTTATTAAAAACATACTGATAAAATGTTATTGTTTTGTTTTGATTGAGTATAGTTACTCCTTTGAGACATACAGCCAGAGTCACTTCTATTCCATTATCATCCTAGAATTATTTATTTTTGTAAAAATCGTTTTTTTCTTTAGAATTAGTTTTAATATTTACTTTCGCTTGAAATTTTTCCTGCCCATATCCTTCTAATTGTTGTGCAGCAACTATATAATATTCTTCAGCAGTCCCTTGGGGTAAACCAGCTAATGCTAAATGTTGACAGATAACAGCTTCTGTGAGACTTTCCAGACGCCCTTGTTGTGTCAGATGCTATTTTTAATTTTATTTTAATAAACATAAAATATTTTTTATCAATAGTAACAAACATAATAGATTAAGAATATTTTATAAAATTTATTTTAATACAAAAACTATTCACTATTTTAAATAAAGGTTAATAAATTGTTACCTTAGGAAAAAGAGCAAAATCTTTAAGATATTCAGAAGTATGCTTTTCTAAATCATGATTTCCAAATTCAGCTAAAAATCATATAAAACATACATTTTACCTATATTATTTAGATACATATTATGCATAGATTCTTAGATACCCCACAGAAAAAAGATCTAAAAGAAAAATATGAATTGTTTTAAACAAAATTTTTTTGAAGTGATAAAAAATTAGATTTAGGTTTCCCAAAAATATATGTCCACCCTAACCTATCACATTGTGTAAATAAACTTAGCATTTATATACTGTCAAATAACTTAATTAATTAATTTTTTTTATTATTATTAACTTAATATTTTATCAGTTTATTTTAGTATTTTATTTATTTTCTTTTAGGTACTTGTTTTTTTCAATTTATCAAAATAAAGAATTTTTTCATTCCTTAAATCTTATAAGAGTGTCATAATTTTTTTTTCAATGGTAATATACATAATTAACTAGTTCATTTATTAGATAATGATAACTAATAAAAAAAAAGGTAGCACAGTGTGGTCGCGGCACAGTATGGATGTGGCATAGTTGGGACAACTATATATGATATCTGACAATGATTAAAATCACTATCATAAGAAACGCTTTGATGCACATATGTAGATAGTGTTTAATTTTAAGAAATTGGTAGATTATTTCAAAAACAACAATAACACTTATTCCCTTAATTTTATCCCGGTTAGTTATTTGATTTATAATTATGATATATGAATAAATAATAATTATAGTAATTAAATTTAGTATGTGATTGATATTTAATAATATTATATTGTAATTTTTACGGAGATATTATAAAAATAAAAAGCAGTTGTATATTTATATACTTTTAATGCATATAAAAATTTAAAGGGATAGATGCAATACTTTTTAATAAAAAAATTTTGTTACTTATGAATAAATACACTAGACTACATGGAACTTTCATCAATAACAAAAATATACTTTTCTAAAGATTAATATGGAGTTAGGAAGTTTTATAATTACTATTTATAGTAAATTTGTCAGAGTAGCTCAAAATTTTTTTGCATTTTTATCGTAATAGATAACTGAAATAGAAATAATAGTAATCATTACCTAGTAAATTTTGGCATTTAAAAAGATTCTACAATTGAAATATTTAGAACTTAATTAATTTTAATGGTTTGCTTTAACTAAATGAACCAGTCAAAACAAAGTTGTTAAAAAGATTTACTCCATTGAGCGTATTATAAAGTTTAATTATAATTGTAAAAATCCATTGTTAATTCAGGAGAAACTAACAATCGTATTTTTAGAAATTATTTATATAACAACATGTTACCAAAAAATTTGGAATATTATAGTCTAGTAGTAGCACATACAAATACAGTAAAAAAATTATTAAATTACAAAGTAAAATGATTTAATTTTGTAGTTGAAACCTATCATATCAAATTATCATAACAAACTTGATTCGTCAATAAATACTTTGAAAACATTAGAAATGAATGATTTTAATTGTCTGTATGGACAACATGGGATAACTAACTGTTTAATTGATAAATTAAAATTTTTTTTCAATTTTTGAGGGTAATATCTTCAACTAGATACGAATTGTAGTAATTTGATGTATCGTTGAAAAATGTAGGTCAAGTTAGAGCAGAGAAAATAAGTGATGGTCACAAAAAAATACTTTCTTAGCTTTGCATCGAAGCTAAAACCTAAAATATAGTAAAATAATTTTAATATGAATAAGAAATTTCTTCTTGCAAGGGGCGACTACAATGATGGGATCCTTGATCTTTATTGAAGTTATTGAATCTAAATGAGATAAAAATCAAATGAGTTGAACATTTATTCTAACTTAAAAAGAATTAAGAAAAAAATGCAAAAAATTCTTTCCCATAGGCGGGTTGGAATCTTGTACCCCAAGTGCGTCAAACACAAGTTATACCGACTCGGCAACTGTCGACTCAAAAAAATGGCTATTTAAGCTAGTACAAATTTCAAAGTTATTTTTCTCGACTTAAAAAAAGCAAACAAATTTAAATAAATTTAACTTTATATGCTATATCAATTTTATTTATATGATATTTATCCAAATCAGTGTAGCACTCCCTTTTTTTTTTCTCGACCGGCATAAGTGTGGACCGCCTTGGAACTACCGTTATGTAATACCTAACGGTAGTTTCAAGGCAGTCCACGCCGTCTCTAAAACTCACACCACCACGTTGTGAATCAGCCCAAAACTAATCAAGAGCTGATTCAAAACGTGGTGTGGCCTCCCCCGTTAGCCGGAGTGGGATCTGTTGCCCGGGTTGCACCACGTGGAGGTGGGGGCAAGACTTTGCGAGGGGGTCAAATAATTCACAAAAACATAAACACGAATACCTAAGGCACCGGCCTAAACCAGCGCCTCAGGTCCTCCTATGCCGGGCGGCGTGGCTGCCTCTGTCTCAGATGTTCCGCTTCCTCCTTCTTTAATAAGACGGATTCGGCGAACGCCTGGACAAGCCTTCACGCATCCCGGCTCCTTAACATCAGGTCCACCATGGACCTGATTCGGAACGTGGACCCTAGTCGAGACTCCAAAGAGTCCAAAAAGTTCCAAAACCGGCAAATGGTGTGCAGAGCGCCGTCAGCCTCTCCCGGGTGATCCGAACAGGCTGCTTTAGGAATACGGTATAAGTACTCGTTAAAGCAGCCGTGGCCAGACATCACTTGGGTGAAACGATGTCATTTTGGTATATGGTTTGGTATAATATGGTAGTCATTTTCATCATGAAGACAAATCCAGAGGTCAAATTTTCTTTTTTCAAATTAAAGTATATTACATTAGCTTTAATTTAAGAAATATATAAAAGTGTCAGTCTTTCCGGAACATTTTCAAAAGTTAAGTTGAAAAAGTTACTTTTTTGAAAACCTTCCTGTGGGCTTGTAAAGGGTCAAATGTTCACAAAAATATATAAAATAATAGGTGAATACCTAAGGTATCTATAAAAAAAAAATTATTTGATTCGGTTATTTTTAAAAAAGTTATGGCAATTTTAAGTAAAAAAAAAATTGAAAATATCGATTTTTAAATTTATAATTTTTGGGTTGAATTCAACCGTTTACGGGGAACGAGGGATTTTTTTTCAAATTTTGAGGGTAATGTCTTTGACTAGATACGATTTGTGATCTTTTGACATATTGTTCATCAAAATCAGTACAGCGAGAGCTAAAATTGAGCGTATACAGACACAAAAAAAAAAAAATAATAAAAAAAACACATTATAATAAAATTAATACATTCTCAGCTTCGCATCGNTATTTCAAATTTTGAGGGTAATGTCTTTGACTAGATACGATTTGTGAACTTTTGACATATTGTTCATCAAAATCAGTACAGCAAGAGCTAAAATTGAGCGTATACAGACACACAAAAAAAAAAATAATAAAAAAAACACATTATAATAAAATTAATACATTCTCAGCTTCGCATCGAAGCTAAAAAAACTGATTGATAACAACTTTTAGACAAGTATTTCGGAAATTTTTGATATTTCTATACCTAAGTGAGAATAAGAGTGCAATTGAAACACAACTAGTAAAAAAATAACAATACTTGTGACTTCAAGCTTTCACTATAACATGTTAATAACTTATGAAATACTGATCGAATAGTTGTTATCAATCAGTGATTTTTATAATTAGTTCATTATCAATTAAATAAACCGGTTGATAATGTATGTTGCCATTTCAATAAATAAAATTGATACCCTTATATGGTACAAGAGTTGAACTTGAAAAATACTTTTTAATAGATAAATTGAAAAAACATGTACTTAATAGAAACCAAAAAAAAAAAAATCAGAATATTATTTTTATTATTTAGATGATTTCAGTGGTTCATAATAAATGTATCATCCATTCTACATGAATATCTGTAGTGTAAATAGAAATTTTGTATGGGGGGTCCAGATAGCTTTTAGAACGTAGAGTAGTAGAGAGATTCACCTTCCTCTATCCCTCACTAATATGAATTTATGTCCATGGTTGATCTGGACCTGGGACCCCTCTCTTAGTTGTACTAATGATGAATATATATTTAATATGCATATTAATTAGGTTAATTATAAATTTAAAAAAAACTATCAAAGAAAATTTGGTTATAAAAAAAAAATCATATTATTAATTTTTTTGCTAGATTTAATACCTTGCATACTGTAACTTGCTAATAATACTGCTTGATCAGCATCACAAATTATTCGACCTTCAATAACATCCATTTTAAGCTGAAGAAAAAAATGATACCTACAAATAAATAGAATAAAATCTTTGTTATTCCATAATTAAAAATTCTAATTCACTTGAAATACATTTTTCTACAACAATTTAAGATTATGTTTTTGTTTTTTTTATTTAAGCTTACCTTTACCAAAAAATAACATAAATAGCCAGTTAATTAATTAATAAACTAATAAGACATTCCCCTACATCAGTTTTAATAGTTACTACAATTTTATATTTATACTAAACAAAAACTATTAAAATTATCTAGTTTTTACTAGTTAATAAAAAATTTCAAATAATTATTGATAAAACTTTTTTTACTTTTAAAAATATAAACAAGAAAAATTTAATTATTTTCAACATAACACATTAAGGTACATAATGATAGATTTTACTATATTTCTCAGTAAGCTAATGTGTATAAAGTATAAATCAAATATCAAAGCATATTTAGCAAATCACTATTAAACCTATATTAATAATTATATAAATATATAATTATGCAATTATCATATGTAACATCTAAATATACCATTATATTTATCGTTAAATGATATGTAACATTACATTATATCATTACTTCAATTACCTCAAAATGAAACAACACCGGAAAAGTATATAAAAAAAATCAGCATTTGATCCGATTTCTCGAAATTTGAATTTATTTTTTGTATTAACAGCAATTTTATCACTTTATTTTTGCTCAAAATGCAAAAAAGTTAATATTTTTTAAATCCTTATAAAATTATCTATTTGTTAGTTAAAGTTTTATAGTTATAAAATAAACCAAAAATATTTATATTTAAAATTTCAACTATATTTTTTTTTACAACTTTGAAAAAAATGTGTTTAATTTGGTAGAACAGTTCTAAATTTTGCTCTCATATAGTTATTCAAAACTTGATGATTAACATTTAATAAGTAATAGATATGAATAAAAATTTCACAATTAATATAATTAAAGCATTTTTATATAAATTCTTTTATATACATCTAAATTTACCAAAAAATATAAAATTTTGATGAAAACATATTTTTGATGAATATGTGTACTTTTTTAAACTTTATTTGATTAATATTAAAATATATAAATAAGATTATAACTTACCTAGTCATTTCATCCTTGATAAAAGATACATTAGATACATAGTACATAACTCTTAAGTATAGACTAAAATGGCAAGCATATTTGTCCAATTGTCTCTTTAATGGTCTACTTAAATCAACCCAACGAGGATTACCATTTCTTGATATGTAGCGTAATCCCAAAATTTCTGGCTATTCAAATAATATATAATTATTATAATTTTGTTTAGAACTGAATGCTCCTTAATAAAAATTCAATAAATAGTTTACATAATTTACATATCATTTATAATAATCATTAAAGTTCTTCAACGATATTGATACTTTAATACAGTAACCATTTTGTTAAAAAATTTCGCTAATTTCAAAATTCATACTAAACATAGAATTTTCATCATCAATATTAAAATACATATTACAAAAACCCAGCACAAGGGGGTCGCGGCACAGTGGTGACATGGTATAGTTGGATCAAGTATAATGATATCTGACAGTAATTAAAATCACTATAAAAAAAAACGCTTGGATGCAAATCTTTAGAAAATGTTTAATTTTAAAAAATTGGTGGATTATTCCAAAAGCTACAAGATCTGCTATTTCCTTATTAATATTCTAATTAAGATAAAGTATGTCAAATAAAAAAGGGATATAAATATTATTTCTCATAAAAAAATTATGTTGATCCATACACTTTTCAATAAGTTATAGCATTATAAAGTTAAAAATGTAAAAAATAAAATCGAGAATTTTCACACAAATATAGCATTTGGTAGACATTTTCACTATGAAGATAAAATAGACTGAATTTTTTTTTCCATAATAAAGTACATTAAATTAGCTTTAATTCATGATATATATATAAAAGTGTCAGATCTTCCAGAACACTTTCATAAGTTAAGTTGAAAAGTTAATTTTTTGTGAAAAAGTTGTCATTTTAAATCCCCCCTCCTGTGGGCAGGTAGATTGTCAAATTTATAAAAAAAAATATACCAAATAATAGGTAAAGACATCAAATATCTATATAAAATTTTCATTTTTGAAAAAGTTATGGTAGTGTTAAGAAAAAAATGTCAAAAATTACTGATTTTTAAAATTGTAATTTTTTTGGAGCTTTCCCCCATTTACAGGGAACAAAAGAAAATTTTTCAATTTTTGAGGGTAATGTCTTCGAATAGATACGATTTGTGATCTTTTGACGTATCGTTGAAAGAAATTCGTTTGGTGAGAGCTGAGTAAAAGTGGTAACAGACACAAAAAAAAACACATAATAGTAAAACCAATACCTTCTCAGCTTTGCATGGAAGCTAATATGAATAATAATATTTTTATAATTTTAGTTGTAATATAGAATAAACATAAAGCAATAATTGTATTTTCTTAATAAGAAATCTTATCTAAACTTACACTTTTATACAATATTTAATACAAATTAAACTGACAACTTTTATAACTTTTTACTGTAATTTTTTACCTAAATAATATATGTGTTCTTAGACAATTTAAAAGCATATTTTATTTTTTTAAAGAGAAGGTTTCTTAAATGTGTTTACTGAGTAAGGTGGTTAATTTGTTAGTAGAGAGAAGAATGGTGACTCCTAAAAACAAGATGAATGCTCGCTTAACTCTCTGTAAATGGGTCTTAAACCTTTGTCAGTGTCTGATATACACTATATTATATGAAAGTGAAAGTTTAGATAAAATTTCTTGTTAAGAAAATACAATTTTTGCTCTATGTTTATTCTATATTTCAACTAAAATTATAAAAACATTATTATTTATATTGTAATATATATTTAAATGTTGATGATGAAAATTCTATGTTTAGTATAAATTTTGAAATTAGTCAAAAATTTTGAACAATATGGTTAATGTATTAAAGTATTAAGTGTATTAAGTGAATAAAAATATCATCAACATGCTTGTTTCATAAATTATAGAAATTAAAAAATATTTGATATAGTAAGCTTAAATTTTTATCATTTTTTATTTAATAAGAATCAAACATTTATTACAACATTTTAACATTATATTTACATTATTTCAATATTTAGTCCATAAAAAATATCTATATATCATTATAAAATATAAAATAAATACCTGATGCAAGCCTAGTCTTTGACAAACACTATCTAAACATTCCTGTCCAACACTTTCTGCAGAAAGTGTACATTCAATGGAAGTACTGTCTAATAGTTCTACACAAATCACATAGAGTGACTTAGAAACAACATTGTACTGTCGACTTTTCTTTAAACGTAATTTAAATGGCATATTTATCTTTTCCTAAACATCATAAAACATTATTTTAAAGTATATTTTTAATACACTTAAATTTTCCAAAAAGTGTAATCAAAAGTATTAATCCTTACAAAGAAAATGATAAATTCTGAATTATTTTAAAATAAAATAAACATTAAATACAGCAAAAAACCAAATTTCTGAACCATACTGACTAAAAATGTTGAATGCAAAACTAAAAATTTAATAAAGGACTTTAAGAAAAATCTCAATTTATTAAATAATTTTGTTTCTTTTATACAAGAAATATCTCATATTTTTTTATTACATATTAGTATTTGTAAGATAATATTTTTATAATCAACTTCAGACATATTAAATTCATAAAAAAAAAACCGAAAATTGTAATAATTACAAAGAATAGATTTTGCCGTAATGGTACAGATTTACAAATATTATTCAAATTAAGTTATATATTATAGTTAAATTACAGCTCAAAAACTATCTTAATAACATGAACATAACTAGAAATACTGTAATTTTTTTAAAATTCAGTTAAAATAATTATCATTAAAAAAAATAATAATACTTTTAATTTTAAACAATATTTTCAATTTGTATTACAAAATAATTTCAACTAATAATTCCAAAATGTAGTAGTTTAAAAGTAATGTTATTAAGTTGGCAGTTAAGAATAGACAGGTTTTAAAACTGAACATAATTTGTTGTCCTATATATTAACACAATAAGATATATATATATATATATAAAGCTTTTATATATTTATTTAAAAGCTATATATTAATTAAAAGAAATTTGTCCAATGCTGTTATTTAAGGCATTTGTTATAACTCAAGAAGCCAAATAAAAAATGTATGTTTATTTTTAATTAAACAAGTGTTATAATAGTAGAAGTTCTGTATTTTCATTCTTCTAATTAAAATATTAAACTAACTTGTAATATATTTATAAGAAATCATAATATACAATATAAAACAAAAGAATTTTATAAAATCTAATTTTAAAAGTTATTTTGTGCATATACTATACAATGAAAATTTGATAATATATTAATAGTATGAGTAATATTCAATATGCATATATACAACTGAATAAACAAACATTTAAAACCCTATTTTGATATGTATTTTGAATTTTCACAACACTATTATTAATGACAAAAATATTATAATAACAAACATTAATTAAAACTTGTTATTGTTTAGTAGGTTAACAAACACTGTTAAACACTTAAATTTGTATTTTTTAGGTAATTTATCACATATTCTAAACAAAATACATGAAAATTCTCTATTTACCATTACAACAATTGACATTATTAAAATTGCATACTCACTCTTGTTTTTACATTCCCGATCATGCACAATTGAGAATATCTACTTCTGTATGTATACAGAAAATATCTTGTATCCACTTGACCTCTTCTTTTGAGTCAAGTGATGATCCTGCACTTGAACATTTTGAAACTCTAAAGTTTAAGTGAACCCTTATACATAGTAACCAACTAATAGTTGTTGGATTTATATAACTTAAAAAATTACAAACAATTACATTTCATATACGAAGTATTTAATGAAAAGAATTTAGTTCCCAAAAATTAACAGTTTTAACGACACGACGTGAGAACTTTTACTTATATGATAACGTAATCATTACCTATCATAATGTTAGCAATAATCTTATACAGTGTAGCCTATAAGTCTAAATAAAATATCACTTTTCCCATTTTAATAATAATATTGGGAGATGGATGTGATCCATGTAGTAATATCATCTAATTTAATCTTCTACATTTATTCCAAAGCCATTAATTATACAAAATTATTATTCCAATCAAATTGGATTTATAAATTTAACTGGGTTTCCATAAATATTTGTTTCAATTAACAATTTAATCATTATAATATTTATAATGAACTGCTAAAACGTTTTAAAACAGTTTATTAAAATAAAGAAATTAAGGATTTACATACAAATTTTTAAAAACCATTTTTGTAAAAAATATAACTTAAAGCGTTTTAAACAAAGTTAGGTATGTAGTTAAATAATAAATTATTAAATCTATTGACATAACTAATTTAAAATCTATTTAAAATATTGAAACGTTTTGTAATTAAAAACCACCTAGAACTAAAGTTTTATTTTCAATACTTTTCATACTGTTTACATAGTACAATTCCGTTTTTATTTCTTAACGAAGTAATTTTATTTAAATTTTTAAAACGTTCCAGCGGCTCCATATAAATGTTGTACATTAACAGTTTGTTCCTACAGATATCATAATCAAAGTATATTTTTTCCCATAAACATTTATTTTTTCTACTTATTATCACACTAAATATTTTTGAAAGATAATGACTAACAAAAAATTGAAATTAATTGTTTTAAGTTCGGAGACATTATAAGAGACGATTTTTGGTGCTTATTTAGCATTCTAATTGCAATAATTTGCTTCATCGTGTGCTTATTATGTACACTGTATAAATAAATGATTATTATAAAATGTATAATAATACAAAATTTGTATTTAAATCTTATAATATCCCAGGAAAACACTATAAAAGAGCAACAAGGCATTTGATTTTTTTCTAAAATCATATTCTTTTTGAAATATTTATATTATTAAATGTTTATTATCTAAGTGTTGTCAACAGAGTGTACTTAATTACCATATAGTAAATAATCATATTAGGATTTAGAGTTCATTCATTGATTAAATTTGTTTGGATAACTTCCGAGGCGCTTTATGAAATTTATTATAAGTATATACTGTACCATAAGAATATTTTTTTTCAAGGGTGGAGTAATCCTTCCATAACTAAATTTCTAACTAATACACATTCATTAGAGTTAAAAAAACAAACAAGAATATCTATTTATCATCGATGTATTCGAAATTAATAAAATAAACTTTATAAATATATTATAATTTTTACTATACAAATACTTGAGCCATAATAATCACATATATGTGATTGGAATACTGAATTTATTTACTATACATTTATTATGTATAATTGTTCAGTTTTCTTGTAATTATAAGTACACTATATTACAATATGAGGTCCTAAAAATATATTCAGATGTTATATACAAAGTGGAACAAATCTAATTGATAACTAATATAACTTGTGATCTACATAAAATTTTATGTTTTTTTTTAATCAATTTTTACAATATAGTACTATATGTAAAATATATTTTATGTTATTTTTCGTAATTACAAAAAATATTTCAAAATTTAATTTTTTTATTAACATTTTTTTTTATGATTTGAAGGTAACCATTTTATAGATAAGTTAAAAAGAAAAATTTTAGTACCAAAAACTCTTATTTTAATTTAGTAGTTACATTTATACAGCTTTTTGAAGTTTATTAAATTTTGTTTTTTTTTTTTATAATTTTCCTATGGTATAAAATGTTAGTCCATATTATGTAAAGGACGAAAGTTAACACTGTTGCAGAGTTGAACACTATTGAAGCTTCTGCAGCTGTACCGGACAAGCTAGAAGGAATGGTGTTATAAGGGCTAGGATTGAGTCTCGTAGGATTATGTCTCAATTTAATTCCAAAAAATATTTTCAATTAAATTAAGTTAATGTTTTTACTTATATACAAATTTAATACATTACAATAAATCAAAAATATATTTACAACTATTCAGTAATGTGTTCAGTAAATTTCGTAAAATTTTGTAATAATTTTGAGATTGTAATTTTTTATACACATATTTCATTATGGACCGTAACTTTCTAGTAATATTGAAATTTGAAAATAAATTTTTTTTTTCGTTTCACCCTACTATTAATATTCCTGAAAATCTATTTTTTTTTATAGAGGGTGATCTAAATAAAAAAATGTCCGGTCGATAACAAAATGTGAACCAATATTTTAAAACATATTAACACTTTTAAGTTAGAGGAAAAAAGACTTTTTTTGCAAACCAATACTTGATTAGAACAACTACGTTTGGTAAAAAAAATTATACACACAACAAAAATAATAAACAATTAAATTCTAAACAATTTTTATATAAACATTTTTACTGTATGTTGAATATTTCCTCTGCAATATTTAAATAAACTAATAAAAACGATTTCAATGGTATAGATAACAATATGTTGTTTTTTTTTATTTTAATAACAAATATTATAGATACGGCTTTTTTGCTATTAACATTTTTTATGTTAAACATTTAGTTATATAATTTTTCCAGTGAATAGTATAGATCAAAAGATAAAAGACAAAAACGAACAAACTACCCTCATAGTAAAATTTTCAACCCTCTTGGGGCACCTGAAGATATTTAAAAAAAAAATTTCTTTCTTTACCCATAATCAGGAGACTAAACTACAACTTTTTTTCTATTAGAATTTAATTATCAACATTTTCAATATTTCGTTCCACTCTAGGGTCATTCCACGTGAAATCACCTAATGTGTGTGCTGAAATAGTTCAGAAATTTATGTCATAAACTTCTTAAAGGTCATTGACAACAAAAATAATATTATTATTTTTTTTTTATTGTTTTTTTATCAGATAGCGCATTTTTTATAGCTAAAAACATGAAAAAACAGCCTATGTTCTTGAGCCTATAACTTCACATCCAAATAAGCTATCACTGTGGAACTAGCACTGTTTTAATCATATTAAATAGTACTTAAATTTCATTCATAAGTTTATGAATTTTGATTTTTTTTGAACATCGAAATTTTGATTTAAATTTTGCAGTATTTTAATAGCAAAATTTGAATGTCAAAACATTTTTTAATTAAAACTTTTTTTTTTATTTTCAGAAACTTTTAGTTATGTTCTTTGAATCCATATCATATTTGAATCGATTTATAATTTTTTTGTATCGTTTTACGGTCTTGAACACGCGTGGTTTGCTGAAAATAGCCAACTTTATCATCTCATTACACAAAAGTGACTAAACGATTTTTTTTCAAATTTACATAGTACTTACCTTTAGGTAATTAAAACGTCTGGTGAAAATTTGATGATGAAGAAATAATTTTAACGCT